TTTTTTACATATAGAGATTTGTTAAATCTTCAAAACCTGAGTTCCACTGTATTTCCTTGCAATGATTCTATGTGCGATGTAAATTTAATCAATATCTGGTGCAGGTAATGGCTCCGAAGCAGCCGAGTAGTGGCCTAATTGTGGGGCTTAACAAAGGCCATGTGGTGACACCGAAGGAGCTTGCTCCTCGCCCTTCTGACAGAAAAGGCGTAAGCTTTTTTTATACGCATTTTCCAGATTTATTGCTCGTTTTTATGTGTCTTTTGCTTTATCACCTTCCATGCTAGTGTATATAATAAACATTTGATAGATAATTGAATGCGCACCAAAAATATTTTAACCACGCACCGATATGAATTCAGCATGAACTATATGTTAGATAACAAATATACCCTAAACTTTCAATTGGAACAATTAAACACAAAAATTTAACTCAAACTGTGTTGGTTGAACAAATTTACCCTTATATCTAAAGTGGTTAAGGAAGCATATATTATACGGAGTAATATATATAGTGAAGTCCTTTTTTGTCCTACACAATTCAGTTTTTTAAAGAATAATACTTTATTCAGTATTTGTTTTCAATATTTGTTTGTTGGGTATTGTGGTGTTTTATTATCTTTGAGCTGTACGGTGATTTAGTTTGCAACTCGGAGATGTTTTTAGAATACCAACTTTTCTAGTTTTGTTTTGCAGTATAGTACGTTTTATGCTATCAAACAAACTTTTGTAAGAATCAGTCCCAATTTAGAGTTTAGTAGTTTTGTTTTGAGAGAAGGAACTAATATTTCCATGAATTTTATGTCTAAGAGCAATATATATACCCTTCAAATTAGAACAAATATGCTATTGAAATATATATTAGAGTCCATATATGTGACATTTCACTATATATGATACTCCGTATAATATATGCATCTCTTAATCCCTTTAGACATAAGGGTATCTCTGTTCAACCAACACAGTTTTTGAGTTAAATTTTCGTGTTTAATTGTTCTAATTGAAAGTTAAGGGCATACTCGCATTTGTTTTCCTTTCTTTGTTCAACTGTGTGTTATCTTTCTATATTTCATGTAATAACACATTGCACCTTTGCATAAAATCCACTCTGTATTATGTGATAGTAATATTTCTGAAGATGACTTTGTCTGTATTGACATTCTTATTGTGATACAGAAAACAAGTAAAAGGGTACATTTTGTGAGGAACCTTATCAGGGAGGTTGCTGGGTTTGCACCATATGAGAAGAGGATTACTGAGCTTCTCAAAGTTGGCAAGGACAAGAGAGCTCTTAAGGTAGCCAAGAGAAAGTTAGGCACTCACAAGAGGGCCAAGCGAAAGAGAGAGGAGATGTCCAGTGTCCTCCGTAAAATGAGGTAACCTTATTTCATTATGAATATCATTTATTTAGGTGTTAGATAGTTCTAAACTGTTTAAGCTTGTCAATTGTTGGATGTTTTTGCAAGGGGAGGGGAACTGGGTTTGTTTTAGGGGGAGTGATAGAAGAGCTAAATAACTAATAACAATTTATTTCCCCAGTTTGACTTTTCCATATTCTGCCAAATTAATTATTCCTGAACCACACTGTTTTCCAGCCACATTTAGCTTCCTGCTCGTCTATTTTCTCATGCTCCTTCCTCCCCCTTAGTTAAATTTCTGTTAGTTTGATTTTGGATACCGTTTTTTGTATGTATAGGGCTGGTGGAGGTGGTGAAAAGAAGAAGTGAGATCCTTGCCTTCGAGCCATCTTTTCAAGAATTTGCCAGTTTTCTCTGTTTTTACTTTTTAGTGACTATGTTGTCTAGTGGAATTTTTGTTTTGTTGTTTGATCAACAACTGGTGTGGATTTAAAGACTTCTTATATGTTCCTTTATATTGCCTAATTGCCTTCAGATTCTTTTACTTGTTGACTAGATTTGACATCTAAGCTTGCGATCAAATTGAAGCATGCAATTATAATTTTATTTAGATCGCATGAAATAAAACGTTAAGATTTGTCATTTGTATATCTTGAAAGAGAAAAATGCTGCATGTAAAAAACAAATGATTTAATTGGTACTATCCAGTTTGTAACCATTTTTCACATTTTAGATAACACAGAGTAATATATAATTTGAGTAGCATTAAAGTAGGTAATTAAATTGTTGGCATTAGGCTCTTTCGTTGCTCTTCACACCTTTTGGTCAATTGGAGAAGTAATCTTCGCGAGTAAAACAATTAGAATGCTCAAAATCACATAAATAAATCCCAAGAGGTAAGGTGTAACGCATTACACCCAAGACGATTACTTAATTAATTTTCACCTGGACTATAGTAAACTCGGTATTTTTTTTCAACCCACAGGTCCTAGTGTCCTACACTAGAGATTAGGGATGGACTCGGGCCGGGCGGCCCGACCCGGAACCGGCCCGGCCCGGTCACTGTTTGAACCAGCCTGGCCTGGCGGCCCGGCCCATGGGCGGTTCGGGTCGACCCAGCCTGGTGGCTACCGGTTCCAGGCCCGGGCCTTCAATTTGGTGAACCGGCCGGTCCGGGCCTGGTCCGGGCCGGATTTAATTCTTTTTTTTTGAATTTTTTTTTAAAGTTTTTCAGTTGGATTGGTTATTTTGGGCCATTTGAAGTGGTTTGGGGGTGGTTTAGGGTTGAGGGGGAGGGTAGGGGGTTGATTAGGAAAACCCAAAAAAAAAAATTATATAGAACCGGGTCCGGCCCGAACCGGACCCGGGGTTACCCGGGCCGGTTCCGGGCCTCCCCTACCTTAAACTGAGGCCCGGTCGGTTCAAGGCCCGAACCGGGCCCGGCCCGGAACCGGTCCACCACTACTAGAGATAAGCTACTATTTTTTAAAGAGAAAACTGTCAAATAGGTACTCGAACTTTCATAAAAAAGTCAATTAAGTCCTATAGGAGACTCTATCCGGTCGTCGCGATTTGGGCGGTTCTCGGTGGAATTTTTTGATGAATTGTTTTGAGCATCTTATTCATCAAGTCTAGTTTACTCATACCAAATTTCAGCTAAAAATTTAATCGGGAGCGCATTCAAATTAATTTGAGAACGCAAAAATGCGCAGTTATCTTCAAGAATTAATTTGAATATGTTCCCGATTGAAGTTTTAGCTGAAATTTGGTATGCGTAAACTAGACTTGGTGAATAAGATGCTCAAAAAATTTCATCAAAAAATTCCACCGGGAACTGCCCCAAATCGCGACGGCCAGACAAAACCTCCTATAGAAGGACTTAATTGACCTTTTTATGAAAGTTCGAGGACCTATTTGACAGTTTTCCCTTTTTTAAAAATAACACCTTAGGCTACAGAGTACAGATGGAGAAGATATTATTTGTCCAGATTTCATCCGATTTGGTATTGGTATGAAACCGGTTCAGTGAAAAGAGGTATCCACATTATTAGTCAAAGATTATACTACATCCGGTCTCTTTTAATTGCAACATTGTACTTTTTGCCTTATTGACATACTAAAAATATTGTTAAATTCTTTTCACTTTAAAATTTCCAAAATAAAAAAAAAATTCGATTTTTTTTAATAAGGAATTGAAAGATATGAATGATCAAACTTGTGCGTTGTCAAATGTGAAAAGTACATACCTAATACTACCTCTGTCCCCCTAAATTTGGGATAAAAGGGTGTTATGTGTTTTTTTTTTAAAAAGTAGAATTGTATGCTTGATATTGAATTGATATAGTATGAATAAAGTAAGAACAAATTGTGACCACTCAAATATTACAAAATATGGTATGAGATAAACTAAATGAGACAAACGAAAAAGGTAAAATTAGGGTTGGATTTGGGCCGGGTCGGGCCCGGGTCGGGCCTAGGCCCGGCGGGCTTTCTGGGATTTGGGGTTGGGCCCGAGACCGGCCCGGGTATCCACCGGGTCCGGTCCGGTCTGGGCCTCGTGCCTCTATATTTTTTTTTGTTTTTTGCCTTTTCTAATTAACCCCGACCCGCCCCCCTAACACCCACCCCCCAAACCAGCCCAAATGGCCCAAAATACCCAGCCCAACCCGGAAAGTAAAAAAGATTTAAAAAAAATAGAATTAAGCCCGAACCGGGCCCAGAACCGGCCGAGCCGATTCCAGTTTCTCCATACCCGTATCCGGCCCGCTACCCTCCCTAAACCGGGCCAATGACCCGGAACCAGTACCCGATCCCTGGGCCAGGCCGGACCCGCACAGTACCGTCTCGGGCCGGTTCTCAAACCGGGTGACCCGAACCGGGTCCATCACTAGATAAAATGGGTTAGCGTTAGGGCTACAGAGGGAGTATAATATTGTTTTGCTCTCCTTAATTGGAGAACATTGTTTTGCTCTCACAATACCACGCTTCATTCACCCAATTCAATCATTTTCTAAATACTTTTAACTTTTTATTTGGAACATCTAAAAAAATATCAGATTATTTTTTAAAATATTTTCAAAAGCAATATTGCACGTCGTATCTCAAAAGGCCTCATTTAAAAAACTATATTAAATAACTTAAAGAATTTAATAACCTTATCTTTATATTAGGGTTTGGTATGAAAGAACATCAAATAAATTTATTTTTTCATTAAAAAGCCTATGACATTATTCCTATAATTTTTTCATATATTAAATTAAAAGAGGAATGATCCTGTTAGGACAGCCTGATAGGAACAGTTGTCGGACCGCCTAGATTTGAGCTTCTTTGGGGAGGATTTATTTGATGAAATTTTATGATATGTTCTTCATGAAATGTAGATTATGTCCGCTAAATTTTATTTAAAATTCAATCGAAATGTCAGTTAAATAAATTATTGGAAAACACTGCCTTTTTATATTTTGGCGCGGTGTTTTTCAATAATTTATTTATCTAACTTCTCGATTGAATTTAAGGTGAAATTTAGTGGTTACAATATACACTTCATAAACAACATGTTCACAAAATATAATAAAAAAGCCACCACTATCAAGCCACCACTAAGTTTATAATCCTACAAAATTTGCACATCAAGTTAACAACCTACCATGTAAATATAGACTGAAATTAAAAAGTAAGCACATTCCAGGGATCAATGTTCCATAAGTTGTAACTTATGATGAGACATTTCTTGAACTGAAATCCCATGAGGAATCGGATAGTCAGCGTTGGAGACTATTAGGGAAAACAAAAGATGATAAGTTGATGGTAAGCAGTTGCATTTTGTATTTGAACTTTGAAGTCTCGAAAATAAAGTTGTGACCTCTGAAATTTACTTAAAAACAAATCTATAATTTTCCTATGAACAAATTACCTAGGGAAGGGATGACTGGATGAGAAATACCAACTAAGGCTACAAGAAGATAAGCTCTGTCCAGAAATATTAAATCCCAAAAAGGAAATGAAATCTTCATGCCTCAGTAAAATGGGTTTTCTCATTCATATTTGGAGCTGAGCCTTCCCACAGCTCTGCTAGCTCCTTCCTCATCCAGGAAATCACAATAATTGGTCCCAGGGTAGATGGCACCTGTAGTTCTCAAACATAGATTAGTCAAACAAAGACTTTCTGGAATGCCAAATTTTAGTAGAGATATAATTGGAGTTAAAAGAAGCATTTAAAATAATTCATGTTCTAAAAAAAGGACACATACTAAGGAGCTTTTAAGAATACGCCTCATAAATAAGTTTGCAGCACATGTTTTTTATATTTTCCAATACCCAATTTCTCGTTAAAATCACCTTTGAAACCCGTTAGCTAGGGTAAATGAATTTGATTGAAATGACCAAAGTTCCTGATCAAATATTTGAAAACAGTTTTATCGGTAAAGAAAATGGTCATTTTTAGCAACCCAATCAAAAGTACTCCCAATCTACTTTTTTTTTAAGGACCCAACCTACTTTTTATTATTAACTAATTCAGCTATCAGCGTGTTCAGTAAAAATACAGCTGATTAGCAAAAATAAAAGTGGCTACCAAACAGCCACTCAGACTCCATTTGGAAGCCTTTTCTGTCTTACTATCTTATCTGGAGAATAAAGTTTTTGACTTGCCTATTTCTCAGAAATGGATATTACTGAATACTTTTACTTTCAGAAGGTATAATAGCTTTAGCCATTTCAGTAAAAGAAAGCAAGAAACCTTACCAAATGAGCCCTTAACATAGTAGAAGTTAATGTATAGAAGATTAACTGAGGATAAATGTATTTATTTCTAAAATGACATTTATTATGGTGAGAGAGTACTACTTAACAAATCAAGGTTTACAATACTGCAAATCCTTAACATACCAAGTATAGAAGAGCTGGTTGAGGAGATTGCGTCAAGATGCCAGCAGCCAAGGCAGTAATAAGTCCAATTGAATACCCAGTCAGAGCATACCATATGTACTTAAACCCCTTTGAAGATGATCCATCCAAGGTATTCCAAGACTCCCTACCCTTTCTGTGGTCATAGCAAAGCACCAATGCTAAAAGCATTGAGGGAATTGCCTGAAGAACCAGTAGCAGGCAAAACTCTACTTTTAGTGACCATGGTATGAAATGTGGGGGGTTTATTACAGTGACGAAATGAAGCGTAGTGAATATCCGCCAGTTGTATATGCAAATCTTAACAAGGCACCACTCAATATCAAAGAAACACAACAGAAACTATTTACAGCCAAATTATGCCTGTATACAAGTAGAACTCTTTTCCCATGTTAGTTAATGTCCAATTGTACCTCTGCAACTCTGCTATATGCTATTACTCAATTTGGTCATAACCTTTCTTCTGGGCTCAATTCAGTCCTTGACTATGTGATTAACTTGGTCTTCAAACGTATTCTAATATGCTTATCAATGGTACTTTCATCAGCAGAGAACAAAATTGGGTCCAAAAATTACAGACGGAACAGTCAAGGAGATTGCATCAAATTGAGTGAATCAACAGAAACAAACTTCTTTTTAGAACCAAATGTGTGTGACTATTACAGTCAACATGCATATCTGGGGACAAAATAGTATCACAGAAACAATGGAAGACCAAATTGAGTAACATTTCAAAATGAGGGGCTAAAGAGGTATGAAGACAATGACATGTCTTAACATGTTTCTGGTGTCAAAACTTTACTTATTTACTATTTCACCATATGAGAAGAATCTATACTCGTGTCCACAAGAAAAAACAGAATTATGTATGGGAAGCTAATGCTGTATGTTTCAAAAACTGGAAATTCAAAAGGAATCTAGGGCTCCAGTGGTTTCTATGAAAATATAGAAAACGGTTTCTGGATTTTCCAGTGTTTGGCATAGTAAAATTTCAGAAAATTCTTGTAGTGCTTAGCGTGGGATTTTTTAATCTTTTGGGTAATATGCTTTGATTGATTTTCTATTTTCAAAGGGGAAACCTTTAAATGGAAACATTTTATGTTTCTATTTTGGGATTAAAAACTGTACTATGGAGAACCAAAAACAACTAATTTCAAGGATGACATTTTCCAGTAATATACTCCCGTAATTATTAGCTGCTCCAATAGGTTTTTCACAGAGACTAAGAAGAAAATAGCAAGAACGGTGAATAACATAAAAGAATGTAAAAAGTAGGAAAAGAAGATTGAAAGAGTAAGGTAAAAATTACGTAGTATAATTGAAAAGGCACAATTAATAAAATACTTAACCAAACAGGAATATGGAGCAAGTGATGAAATATGGAGGAAGTACTTTTAATGGAATTTTCAGGAATTTTTACATAGGAAACTATCTTTTTACCGCAACCAACAGAAACAAGTAATGATTCAAAATAAAGGTCATAATTTATACCATGTCTCCAAGACCTAGCATCATGAAGTCAGAAGCAGCATTTCCTGGGACTAGACTGCCAAATAGATTCCTGGGGAAGACAATTTTGACGGGCAATTCCAACTTCTTTGTGATCAACTGCAACCCAGGAAGACTCAAGCTATTAGCAACTGTATGTACAGGATTTGATGCTTGTTGTGTGGCCACTGAAACCATCACATTCACTCCAAAAAACCTCTCAGAGAAAAACACCCAAAATATGTCATACACAAACAGACACAATAAGAGCACTGCACATATCTTGATATTGGGAAGACGCACATGGCTGACAAAAGCAATACATAGAGATATCCCCAACACATTATTCAATACCCAATTTCCAGAGACAAGCCATGATAAAACTATACTAACACATATCACTGTCAGAAACAACTGGATTCGGGTAAATGATTTGGCACAACATTTGGATACGTAAGGGTCAGGTAATCCATAAGAGGACTTAATTTGAGCAAAATAAGGTGACAGACAAAAGTAGAGTGATGATGCTGAGGCAACAGCAGTGAAAGCCGTGAGAAGTTGTGCCATAGAAGAGAACAAATAAAACATCATAAGCAGGCTGAAGGAGCTCATTATAGGGATCATTAGGGCTTGAGATCTGTCTAAGGTGATTGATGCCTCTGATAAATCACGATTTCGCTCCATATCTTTTCCATAGTTCAGAGCTCGAAATGCAGACGCATACGAGACAAGTACTGCAGTCAAAATGAGTGAGAGTGGAGCTGGTTCAAGCAAAAACAACAGCCTCCATAAAGACTCCATCTTTGAGTAAATTCTGTGCAAAATCAATCTGTGGAGCTTAATTTATTCCTTCGACTGTTATGCAGCAATATTTGGATCTACTTAGCATATCCAAGAGATATGCCGCCTGAAAATTTCTCTCTATATATAAAAGCTGGACCGCCTGGGATAACTGTCCCCGCCTGAAAATGACAAAGTCACTGTCACATCATCGTGATTTTGGCAGTTGATCAGCAGGATTTTGGCTCTCCTCCGGCAACACTGCCAGCATATTGGTTGGTCATTAAATTACAGCTTATTACAATTCCTTTAATTGAAAACTTAACATCTTTTAAATGAAAGAACAGATAAAGAACGAAACTCAACAACACCCTCTAACTCTCTGAGCTTGATCTATTCACTTCTGATCAGATAAAATAAGATGTGCAGGAAGAAACAAAACAAGATGAGATTAAATAAGAAGACAGTTCGTAATAACCGACTAACCTCAGGACATTAGACGAACGGTGTAGACTGCGTCTGACCTAAGGGGAAGAGGAGATGGAAAAGGAGAGAGCTATTAGCGTACGACTGTCTGGCTGAGAGATGGTAGATCGGATGAACTGGACCGGGTCAAACACTTAGTAATTTAGTATCGTATTTTCAAGGGCAATTCTAAATGCAGTCCTGTTTTCAAAACACAGCCCATATATAATAAATTCTCTTAAAACAAAATGATTAACTTTACAAAGTTACTCTTAATGATAGTATTGTTTTCTTTTCTATTAACTAAAGGAAATCCTTAAATATATCTTTCATGATCGGAAGATATGGTGGTGAACATATATGAGGAGGTGATTGCATGGAGTTAGTCATCGCGAAGGTGGTGGCGAATGTTACGACGGCGGAGGCGGATGTTATGACAGTGCACATGACTGAAGCTTTGGTAGCAATGGTAGTGGAGGCTTTGAAGTCTTGTCGACGGCCCTCTCAGAGCTTGTCCAATGGAAAGTTTTAATCAACGTATGAGTCATTGGTGAGTCTGATATATGTACCAGTGCTGACGAGGAAGGAACCAAACGGGGAAACAGATGAAATAAAAAGAAACAAGTTGGCACATGGGGCACCACGTGTTTAGGTAATCACAAAACTGGTCATTGATATGTAAAATCACTCAATTCAACCCGCATGGGTAGCTCAGTCGGTTGAATTGTGAGGAAGTTGGAGGAATGACCGTGTAGATGTTACAGTTTATGTGTGTTGAGTTGGACTTTTGATGCGCACAAGTACAAGGTCTACCACAATTGGATTGGCTCAGTCACTGTGATATACATGTACCCTCCTATATGCTTTGTCGGGTCAGGGCATGAAGGGCCTTTGGATCGGGGATTCAACCTTTTGGAGGAACTCAATTGAGCTTTTTTAAAGTTGGAGAGTTTATTAGGATGTTCTCAAATTACAATGGTCTAATTAATCTTTTTGAGACAATATGAAAGCTTATTATAGAAACTCTTAAACCACAATGTTAATACTCACTTGTCGCCATTTATGATATCCAAAGTCCAAACATATGGACGTTACTAGTGATCCATTATTATTGTAGAATTTGAAAGACTAAGACATGTCAATTTGGGCGGCATATGGAAAACCCTAAAAGAGTGAGCAACCGATTCAGTGAGGAACGACGAAGGCTCCTGTATGTTTAAGCTTCACTGCATATTGAAAAAGTGGTTTATACACTCGTATGAGTGGTGTATTCTTCCCTACAATTTTTACGATTCTTCTTCTGTCTATTTTGACAACGATGTAATGGTGTTATGAGTGGTTTCTTCTCAAATTGATGATGCTAGTGCCTACTATACTATTGTTCAATTGCCATTGATGACACTCAACGAGTTTTAGATATGTTTTTCTCAAATACCATCATGCTTCTCAATCCATCTATGACGATACCGTTGATCCGCCCTCCTCCAGAATCACCGCCACAGAAGGAAGGAGTAGTACGAAATTTTTATCAACATATTCAATACAAAGCCGATATACATGTCATTGGCTTTTGGAAAGTTGAGACCGGTCTGCAGGTACAATGGAATCAGTTGGGACGCGGGATAACTGGAAACTGATAACTTGTTGCTTTATTATTTCACTATGTCATTTTTTTTCGTAGTTACGCCTATTTGAGTACTTTGCATTATTTTTAATTTCTCTATAGAAACATAAGGACTTACATTGTGATGTTAAGATTCAATTTACCTATTACATGGTTAGTGATTTTTGCATCTCATTTGCGGGTAGCAGAGTCAAAGTCTGATCATTGAGCGTATGCCTGAAGTTGGTATAATTTTGAGTCTATTGCAATATGGTTTGATTTATTGATTTTAATAAAGACTATTTCCATAAAAACACTACTACATTTCAACCTCTAATGTATCACCCAAAAGTGTTACAATATCACTGAAAAATGTTACATTAGAGAAAATGTAACACTTGTTTACCATTACATTTGCTCATTTTGCATTTGACCTATAGTAACACTTTATAGTCCCTAATGTACGTAACATTTATACTACTAAAAAGTGTTACATTAGGTCTAAAACGTGTTACATTAGAGAAATATGTAACACTTTTATAGTTATGTTACATTTTTAATGTTACATTAGGAGGCCGTTTGGCATCCCTGTTTTTCAGCTTATCAGCTTTATCAACCAACTTTTTCATCAAACATGTAATTTTTGCTTTCGCGCGCTGAATTGTGTAATAAGCAGAAAAAGTAAGGTTGGAGTTACTTTTCTGGTTGTATTGGCTGAAGTTATTGTAGATGACCATTTGAGCTATTTTACATCTAATTTTTCTTTATTTTATTAATAAAATATATTTAGAAAATAATTTTTTCTTAAATCAGCAAAATCAATCAATACAACCACTTCAATAAAAAATTCATAAATTTCAACAGAATCAGTCAAAGCAGCTGATTTTTGTGCTATCAAACGGGCTCTAGATCTTAAATTGTAATAGCAAAAAATGTCAATTTAGGGCGGTGAAGTCGTTATTGCAATTTGCACTCAAATGTCTCATGGTGTCTAGAAATGCGAAATAATAACTCTCTTTGACGCCAAACATAGAAATCGTGGCCTATCAATTCAACATTAGTATACCGTCTATCCTCACATGTCATGCAAATGAGCAACTATAGACTATAGTAAATAGTGATTAGATTGTTCCTTAAATACCACTACCATCAAATAACATTGAATATTTATATTATATACTACCTCCGTTCTCTTTTAGTTGCAACGTAGGACTTTTTTCACTATTCACAGATTTTACTTTGAATACATTTTATTTATTAATGTATTATGAGTTAAATTTTAAAAAAATATTTTCAAATTCCTCTCATAATAAATTTTCAAAATCTGATTCTTTTTAATTTTTTTACTAATAAGGAATGAAAGATATTAACGGTCAAACTTATGCATTGGCAAGCGTGAAAAGTTGACTGTTGCAATTAAAAAAGAACGGAGGAAGTAATAAATACGATTAACAATAAAATTATTTAGTATCTTTATATTTATTCATATCTTAGAAATAATATTGAACTTCAAAAAATGTTGATACCACTCAAATTCATTTTGTAATCTGTCCTGTCATAGCCTCATTGGTCTTACATTGGCACTTTTTCTTCAATCTAAGAGACGTGTTGCATTAGAAATTTGTTGAACATCTCATATCCGTATTCATCTCAAATTAAAATACTGCTGAGTAATTCTTTTCTAGTCCTATTAATAAAACGCAGTAATTAATAATCACAAATACTGTAGTACGGAGTATGTAATGATTATTTTTTGACTTTTAAAAAACGTAAACACTCAAAACATGAAAAACGGAAAGACGATGAATAAGCGTTGGAATGACCGCTTGTGCCTCACGGAAAGAATTTGATTTTTTACAGGGAAACTGGCCCTCGTACTATACAAATACTCAATTAAGTCCTCGAATACTCAATGAATGTTCTTGATCTGATCTGAATGTTCATGATCTAATCTGAATGTTTCTGATCTGATCTGAATGTTTCTGATCTGATCTGAATGATTCTGACTTGATCTGAATTTTTCTGATCTGATCTGATCTGAATTTTTCTGATCTGATCTGATGTGAATAAGATAAGAACAAGCAGCAATAAGATTAAGACGACGGCTTCTAAGTCATTTTGAATGGAGACAATACGAAGTACTCCGTACGTATGAGTCCTTTTCTTGTCCAGCCGGCCTGACGGGAATCGCCGTCCGGCCGAGGGCATTTCGGGCACTTCCCAATGAAATTTTTTGATGAAATTTTTTGAGCATGTTCTTCATGAAGTCTAGTTTATCCATACCAAATTTCAGCTCAAAGTTCGATTGGGAAGGGATTCAAATAATTTTTTGAAGTTGAATGCGCAATTTATATGTATGAACTGCCCAGTTAACTTCAAGAAATTATTTGAATGTCTTACCGATTGAATTTTTAGCTGAAATTTGGTATGGATAAACTAGACTTCATGAAGAACATGCTCAAAAAATTTCATCAAAAAATTCCATCGGGAAGTGCCCGAAATGCCCTTGTCCGGACGGCGGTTCCCGTCAAACCGACTGGACATGAAAAGTTGTCCCGTACGTATTATTTATACTCATATTTCTATCTTTCTAACTGGCATCCGGGTTTCATACTTTCATAGCCTGAAGTTTTCACGTTTTATTCTCTTCCCGTTTTATTCTATCAACAGTTTCTTCTTCCCAAAAAAAAAAACTATCAACAGCTTCACGTTTTCCTCACTCCCTCTCCTAAATCATTTCTCCTACACTTCTGACTCTACCTTCCTTAATTAGCTTCAGTATTACATACGGAGTATTTCTTTTGAATCCCAATTTAAATCCCGATTTTTTAATCTCAAAAAATAAAAATAAATTAATGCTCGCCATTAAGGAGTAATTGAAGTGCAGAATATACTTCGCCGGAGCCTGAATTACGATTTGAGATGAATCAGATGATGTGTGTGGATGCGTTAGTGCTATTTGCCTCTTTTCTGCTGACTTTCACACCGTGCTCGGCGGCGGTGACGGAGCCTCAACTTCTGGTGAACATGACGCTGGTTAAAAACGCCTCAGCTACCGGAGCTTGTACGTATATAGTCACGCTTCATCGATTTAGACGAGATCGAATTCATTTTTCCTGAAAGTTACTTATCAATTATTGGTACCGCACAGTACTTCGATTCGTATAATTATTAGATTTTTATTCATAATTTGTGATGCAATATGGATTAATTTCGCGCGCGTGTGGTATGAGACGGTTAGATTGCTTGGACGGAAGTTTGCCGGCGTATCACTTTGACAGAGGATTCGGCGCCGGAGCTCAAAATTGGCTTTTGCAGTTTGAGGTATGTGGTTAGCTCTCAGTCTTGTCGTATCCGTTACGCCATATACTCTTACGTCATACTCCCTCGAAAAGTTTGGTCAAAATTGACTTTCATTTGAATTAATAAAGTAAAAACTGTGTGTTGAAATTTGGACAGAGGAGAAAGAATTATCTTTACCTATATGTTTCTTACTTTAAATGAAAATGACAAATCTTTTTAGGAAATCCAAAAATGAAAATTTAACCAACCTTTTCAGGACGGAGGGAGTATAAGTTAAGTGTTTTTATTTCGATCGAAATTCTCTGGTCTGATGACGTGGTTTGGTTTGAACTCATCTAGTTTGATTAGGTAAATAAATGTTTAATCTTTATGTATTTTACAATTGTCCAAATCTGATTTGATTTGAGACGAAAATAGTCCAAATAAAAATACCATACGAGTAATTTTTTTGAATATGTAAAATCATCCTTATGAAAATGCTATTTGTATACAACATTTTACACACCTTTTTTTTGGTGATTACAACATTTTACACACCTATAAAATGCCAGATGGATGAAGCATCATTGTTCCAAAAAATGTCATTAGAAAAGAAAACTATACATCAACGGAGACAGTCTTTTACTTTTTTTTAGGGGTGGACGCGGTCCGGAACGGTCTGGTAAATTAGTAAAATCCGTAATGTATCTGTGAGGTTTTTAACGGTCCAGTACAGTCCGGTTTCAAGGATGGAACCGTTCGGTACCATGTCGTTTCGGAATGGTACAAAACGGTACGGTACAATGCCAAACACATGTTAAAAAATTTGAACAAATTTTGCAATTAGTAGATATCATCACACCAACCAACTCACATCGATATAAATACAAGAAATTGCATATATAGAACTAAAATTCACAAATAAACAAATAGTGCAACACATCTAAGAAAGAGTATAACAAAACGATGACGCGTGATATAAATATCATCCTTAACTTACTTGGTTCATGTGAAAATATAAAAAAGAATATCATCAAATTGTTGAATATAATAGAAATCCTCAACGTTCTTCTTCTTCATTCTAGGTTAAATAATACTCTGTAGTTCTAATTTAATTTATAGTTGAACCTTGAGAGCTAACATTTAAACCATACGGAGTATTAATTAATTTGTAAAATTGCACAAACATGATAGAACAAAAAGTCATGTACGCTAACAGTACTAGAAATGAAGTCATTAATGATTTCTCTAAAATTTTAATATTCTTTCAATACATACCAAAATATAACATAAATTATCTAAAAAGAAAAAATAACAATATATATATTATATATAAACACACACATTTAGCTATTTTAAGGATGCATAAATACATACTTGAACTATAAAATTGTTGGTCTATAAAAGAGATCTATTCAATTGCTATAGAAAAAAATATAAAAAAGTTCAAGTGCATTATTTTTAAACGGTTCGGTCCGGTATTTTTCGGTTCTCAAAATCTAGGACCGGTCATGTACCCGTTTCAAACGGCACGGTTTTGGTACGGGACAAAAATATATAGAATCGTTTAAATACCCGGTATTCGGTTCGGTACCATTATGGGACGGTTCGGTACCGGTTCGGTTCGTTTTTTTTGTGGTTCGGTTCGGGTTTTATGCCACCCTTACGTATATTTCTCTGGCTTTCCAGATTTATTTCAAAATTGTAAAGAAATTCATCAACTCGAAAATCGAAATCTGATCTGTAGTATCAAAATATTTGGGGAAATTTCTTCAGCTTTGTCCGATTGTCCTGGACTCGTCGTGGTCTCTTATCTTTTCCACATGACTTGTCCTGCTCCTTACTTTAAATAATATATTCTCCGATTGATTTATTATTATTATCCATGTTTATGGTTGGTGGCACGTAATTTGTCAAACTTTAAATTCTTAGTTAGTTCGAATAATTGAATTTGTTTAATTTCGATAGGTATGTTGGGAGCATGTATATGTTTCAACCAAAATAGTCAAATGTTATTGATGCATACAATTTGTTCTTGTTTTCAATTTCTATTTTATATAACTTTTGTCATATTTAATTCAATTTTAGGGTTTAATGCAATTTCATTGTATTTTGTAAATATATAAAAATTTATGTATTGGATTTATTTTCAATCAATTATACGGAGTAGTAAAATCAATTATAGTAAAATGGTATAGAGAAATCTAGCTTTGGAGCATGATCTTAATCGGAAAAAATTATGGTCATCATGAAATCATATGATCATACTTTGATACTATGCTCATTCATTAATTGAGACTTTATTTGTGGGACGAAAGGAATATTAAATAAACATTAAAGCGGAGTATAAGAGTATTTAATATCATAATTGACGGCATACGAAGTATAAGAGTATTAATTAATTTCATAATTGACAATACTTTTACAGAGTGGTAATAATATTTCATATTTTTGAAATTTTAAATTATTTTAACCATATTTAGAGTATAAGCTTGTTTGGTGTCGTTTTTCTCTAATTTAGACGATTTCCAATCACGTTGCTTTTGGACTTAATATTTCGAAATATTAAGGTTGTTTTTTAATTAAATTGCGTTTGTCACAGATAAAATCAGATCAAATCAAATGGATTAGTTTAAAAATATCATTTCAATTAAAAACATTGAAAGGTGTAAAGTCTAAATTTGTTACCACCTCTATATATCCCATTGAAATTCATGTATAAAAAATGACACTATTTTTAAAAAAGTGGCTTATGATTGTTATATTGAATATACATAGTACAAATAAAGATGCTCTATATATACTGAATATATGTAATACTCCCTTCGTCCCTAATAACTTTGCCAAGTTTGACCGGCACATGTATTAATAAAGTAAAAACCGTGTGATTGAGCTTTGTGCAGAGGAGAGAGAATTAACTGGAACCACAAATTTTTTACAAAGAGAAAGTGACAAAGCTAGTGGGACATTCCAAAAAGAAAAGTTCGCAAAGTTACAAGGGACGGAGAGAATATTAATATGATACGGAATATGATGCAACTTTAGTCAGATAGGCAAAAAGATAAATAGTCCTATAATATTAAGATAGTGGAGAAATTGACGACAATAATATAACCTTTTACCGGTCTTTTCAAAATTGTTTCACCTAAGAATAAACTTAAAATAATTTCACCTTTTAAAAGTTTTTACTTCATCTTCATTGGCAAATACTCTCTCCGCCCCAAAAAACTTCCCAGTTTGAATTGACACGCTTATTAAGAAAATGAGAGTAAAGTGAAAATGTATGATTACAGTTAAAAATATAAGAAATTTGCGGGACGAATGAAGCATTAAACAAACATATCAGGAGACCGTTTGGCAACACTGTTTTTCGGCTTATCAGGCTTATCAACTAACTTTTTCACCAAACACGCAACTTTTGTTTTCTTGCGCTGAATTGTATAATAAGCAGAAAAAGTAAGGTTGAAGTTACTTTTCTGGCTGTATTGGCTGAAGTTACTGTAGATGACGATTTTAGCTATTTTTACATATGATTTTTTCTTTATTTTATTAATTAAATATATTTTTAAAATAATTTTTTATTATATCAGCAAAATCAGCCAATGCAGTCACTTCAGCCAGAACTTTATAAATTTCAGCAAAATCAGCCGATTTTCGTGTCATCAAAACGGGCTCTACATGAAACTCCGATCAATCTCATTCAATCACCTTTGAGAGATGGGTGCGGGTAGAAAAAAATGCTTTTCTTATAGTTATACCTAGGGTTGTATACGAATCGAATCGAGTCGAATAATGAGATTTTGTATTTGTATTTGTTTAATTTTTTCGAATACGAATTCGAATTCAAATATGCAACGAATATTAATTTCGATTTGTATTTGTATTTGTTTAACAATACGAATGGTTAACGAATTATATACGAATATCGAATCGATTTGATCATAGGTTAAATATTACTCAAATACAGAGTATCGCTTTAAAAATAACTTTTCTTATACTCCGTACGGTTTATGTTGTAAATGCATGCTATGACTTAATATGTGTTTTAGAATTTAAATTTAATGGATCAATGCATTTTTAAATGGTGCACAATATACTAAAGTGAATTAATTTTATGATTAATAAATATATATCTACTTCAAACCTATTGAAATAAACACTAACACGCTCAAATTAGAAATTATACTTATAATGTGTGAAATAAGTTAATAATTGTATATATCAAAGTCAAACGACTCTAATTTTATTCTTCAAATCGAATACATAATTATTTGTATTGTATTTGAAAGACATTTGAACCAAAAAATTGATTTGTATTCGTATTTATATTCTGGTTTATTACACTTTGAGGGTACTACAATCTTTTAAAAGTTATTATAGTGTTATTACTATTTTTATTAATATTGATATTAATATTACCATTATTATTAATCGAATATATTTGATTAATATTCGAATCGAATACACTGATATTCTTATTTGTATTTGATAACAACTCGAATCAAATTTAATATTCTTATTTGTATTTGTATTTGAATTTTCCGAATTCGAATCGTCTTATACGAATTTGAATCGCGAATCGAGCACAAATTATTTGATTCGTTTACAACCGTAGTTATACCGAATAATGTCGGTATAACTGCATGTCGATTCAAAATATAACTAAATTATGCACTCCATATATCTTTTCATGTCAATTCAACATATAACTAAATTATGTACAGTACTCCATATCTTTTTTAACACCGTATGTTTTTTTTGTACAACGATGCCTAACAGTGACCAAATAACTTTTAAATTCTCATTTTGTTTTGACAATAGGGTGGTGGGTGGTGTGACGACATTAAAACATGCTTGGACAGATCTACATCTAAGCGTGGATCAACGACTTATATGAACAAGTGGGAGGTCTTTTCGGGCATTCTCAGCAACAATGCCTCTCTAAACCCTGGTATGGCTACTGCCCTCTGCCCTCAGCAACGATCCTTATCAAATGCGGAGTAGTTCGAAAGACTTCTACAAAAAAGGGAATGAAAATCCTAAGGAGGAAACAAGTACCAGTAATTTTGTAAAAAATACTCCATAGCTGCTATTAATCCGAGAAAAGGGTGTTTTAAATGGCACAAATTATAAAAAATGATTTTTTGATTACTAAGAGCATCGTCATGGATGAACTTACAAAGTCAATTCAAGATGATATACCGTGGTGCATGATGTTTGCCGATGATATTGTATTGATTGATGAGACACAATCAGGGGTTAAAGCAAAGTTGGAAGTATGTCGACAAACATTGGAGAACAAGGGTTTCAGACTAAGTAGGGGCAAGACAGAGTACATGGAGTGCAAGTTTGGTGGAGGTAGAAGCAGTGGTAATAGCGGAATTACTTTAGATGGTAAGGAGATACCGGTCAGCGATATGTTCCGTTACTTGGGCTCCATAATTCAGAAGGACGGTGAGTTAGATGGAGATGTATCCCATAGAATCAGAACAGGGTGGATGAAGTGGAAGAGTGCGTCAGGATTTCTATGTGATCGAGGTATGCCGACTAGACTGAAGGGTAAATTTTATAGGACAACAATTAGACCTGCACTACTGTATGGCACGGAGTGTTGGGCGGTGAAACAATGTCACATTCAAAAGATGAGTGTGGCAGAGATGCGCATGCTGCGTTGGATGTGCGGGCATACTAGAAAGGATCGTGTGAGGAATGAGACAATCAGACAAAGGGTGGGAGTAGCACCTATTGAAGATAAGATGCGGGAGTCGCGCCTACGATGGTTTGGTCATGTGCATAGGAGACCGATTGATGCACCTGTCAGACGAGTGGAGATGTGTGGAGAAGATGCAGGGAAGAGAGGGAGAGGAAGGCCCAAACAGACGTGGGCTAGGGGAGTCAGAAGTGATATGCTTCTTCTTGGATTGGATGAGAGTATGGCTTTGGAAAGAGCGAAATGGAGGGCGGGTATTCGTGTGGAGGAGTGATATTGTATCATCTTTTCCCCTCTTTTCTTCTTCTTTTTCTTTTTCTTTTTCTTTTATATTTTTATCCTTATATATAAACATTACTTTATCCTTTTTATTTTATCTTTTATATGTATATTCATCTATTTTATATTATCTTTTTTATAATAGCTTATCTTTTTTATCTTTATTTCCTTTCTTTTCTTTTGGATGATATCATGTATCGATTCATGTTAGCCGACCCCAATATCGTTTGGGACTAAGGCTTGGATGTTGTTGTTGTTGTTGTAAGAGCATCGTCAGCGGTTAGCTAATTGTTCTTTTGGCTTAACTAGCCACACGAGCATTTGTTGCGAAATTAAAATGTACCCCAATGATTAGTTATAACTTCTTCCTCTTTATTTAACATTAATAATGTTATATGTAGTATTTAGTAATTCTCTTTGTTCAAATAGTAGCTCATTTTGGCTAATTAGTTTCTCAAGCAAAAGGGAAGACAATGCTCCAATGATAAGCTGGTTTTAAAATGGGAAATTTACCACAATATTACTAAAAGGAAGAGAATTTCCCATTATATGACCAAAAAACTTAATTGAACATAATATGACTAAAAGTCACCAATTGTGGGTAGCATAACTGAAAAATAAGAAAGAGAAACATTCCATCTAATGTATGTACAACGTGATTAGCGTATGAGAGATAATTTTCTCTTTTTAAAAAGTGACTAGGTCATAGATTGGGAAATAGTTGATCTTTTAGTCATATGAGAGATAATTTTCTCTTTTGAAATTGCAAGCAAGTCCTTCACATAACCATTGGAAATGCTCTAAGGCGTGAATTTTATCCTATAAGATTGACAATAATTTGAGTAGTCGCTTACTCAAATGCTTAGGGGAATTATTAAATAGTTTATGCCAAGAGAAAAATCATTCCCCTTCCTATTTAATAAGCGAAATACAGCATTAAAAGAGAAACCATTATAAGATTGTCATTCCCCTTCCTAGCATTAAAATTATTCAAACTGCTTTACTTTATAATAAGAGAAAAATCATTTTCCCCTTCCTGTAATGCATCTATTATCACTCTTCCTTAAAGCATTTCAAGTATGACTTCAGTATCTCACATTAAAAGATTTCTCTCATAGAATGTGTTATTGTGAGAACTTATCATTCAAGTATATATGCAGATTTTTACAATTGGAACCGAGTAAAGCTTAGGTATTGTGATGGAGCATCATTTTCAGGAGATTCGAAGTTTGATAACGGGGTAAGCCTTTGAATGTTAAATTTCAGTTACTTTATAAATGCCACATGTGCTAGCTCTTGGTTCTTGCAATTTTATATATCTAAATCATTTTTCTTTCTTGCAATTTTATGTATTTATGTATCTAATGATCAATTCATTTTTTGAACTCTTCTCATTCTGTCTAATTTTGTGAGGTATACATCATGCAATGAAAAATTTATGAAGTTAAAGATACAAATCCACATATGAAGATATGTACTCCTCGTTGGCTTTTAGGATAGAAATTGAAATCTAATACTACGTATGACATTAGGTCATACTATCGTATTCTTTAAGGAGTGGGAAAAGGTGAACTAACATAAAGTATGCATCTTTTTTGTTTTCTTACCCAATTATTCATTATTGACTAGATATGTGTTGTGTATGATGCTCCCCGTCGCACTCTAGGTTCTAGACAGCTGAAATATTGATATCCAGAAGGACCAGAAATCATTTTTCCTGAACAGTGTCATTTTGGTTTAAAGTGCCCTTATTTACTTTGTTTTGCTCCCTACAATAATTTCAGTTTAGAAAATATTGCAACTCAACATCATAAGAATATGTGACAAAGCACACTCTAAAAGATGCTTCGCTCCCTTGCCCCTAAGATACTCTTATGTAATCTGTCTTCTCATAATAGCACTGGATTAAATGAAATGCAATACAATATATGGAGTATTAAACTGGTAACGTCTTTTATTCATGTCATAGCCCATATACTGTTGCATTTGCAGTAAACTTAAGATAACGGGAACTCTCGAGTAGAAGAGTGCATAACTGTATCATTTGCTTAATTTTAAAAGAGTGAACTTACGTGAAATGAAATGCAGACAGTATTGCTTTATTTCAGAGGGCAGAGAATTTGGCAAGCTATCATTCACGATCTCCTTCCAAAAGGTTTGGGTCAATCAAGAAAGGTAAATACTAAATAGGAATTTGATGCCTTCACCTAGTACTTCTCTTTAGATATGAAATTTGAGACAACCCATTTTGATTGTCATACTTTACACGAGAATGTCTTATATTTTTGTGCATAAACGTTTAGTTATTTGGCATTATCAGGGAGGTTAACTGGCCGGCATAAAAATATACTAGTGTATAATAACAAGAAAAGTAAAATGGCCTAAGCTGCTTGCTGGACCTTTTGAATGTATCATACTATAGTAAAATTTGAAATGTCTTGAGCCAGTTCATGAGTTTTAAACTTAATTGATTATAAGAATGTACAACATCTACTTTAAGGAGTGCTATAGTTTACGGTGTGGTTACTTCTGTGCATTTAGCAGTCTTACAGTCTCAGTGGCTTCACTTTTAGGCTTTGCTTTCTGGTTGTTCTGCGGGTGGGTTATCAACTTTTCTGCATTGTGACAACTTCACCAGTTATCTACCCAAGACAACAAGTGTCAAATGCTTGAGTGATGCTGGATACTTCCTAGATGAGTATGTTCTTATTTTGGATTATAATTTTTTGATTTCTTTCTCTGGTTTTGCTAAGGTATCTCATAGCAAAACCACAGTCACTGACTCACCATATAAGGAATAAACTTGTTAGACTTATCATCTAGGATTTAAGTTAAAGGCTTACTCTTGGGCTCTTATATGCTAGTTAGGGTATATTTACTGGTGACTTAATGGACTCATTGGAATAATCAAATCTTCAAGTCATATTTACTTATGACAAAATTGAAAACACAATGTAGTTGTTAAGTAAAAAACTAACTTAATCATCAAGTCTTGATGTATTACTCCCCATTAAGACATCTTTTAAGGCGTCTATTCGGCTAAAACACTCACTCATTATGGAATAAATGTATGTTAATAGGTGACATTACTCATTGACAAGATAACCCAAAAATGACCGTATATTGATTATTTTACGCAATTTAGTTTGTTCTTTTAGCACACAACATAAACAGTCTCATATAAAAATCACTTAATCTAAACAAACATCTTAATCCCCTAGGTTGATTATTATTGTCCACACTATTCTGATGTCCAGCCTGGTTAGCGTGGGGGGGGGGGGGGGGATGGGGTTTTAGCCTCGTTGTAATAAATCTTTAAGGAGGAGACTCATATATCTAGTTGGGCCCATTTATTGTGAGGTATCCCCTCTCCAAATGACTAATAATAATAAAGACTGCTTAGCTTCATTCTAGACTTCCCTGTCTAACAGCTAGCATTTATAGAACATTGCAATTTTAATTTAATGGACGTTTATGTCATTTTCAGGAGAGATATAAGTCTGAACTATACAATGAGATCTTTCTACCAGAACATGCTTTTCCTACATGTACGTCTTTCACCCATAGCTGGGGGCAAATGGGCTATATTAAGAAATGTTTTCTCTGATGACATGATTATTGTTTGACAGGCAGCAGGACACACCCTCAACAAAAATTGCACTGATTCTCTTACCCATCCTGAACTGGTATAATCAACTATACTATAACTATACTTGGCATACAATGAAACTACATGCTGGCAATCTTATATTCTGTTTATGCAGTGCATCTTCCCACAGTACGCATTACCTTACATTCAAACACCATTTTTCATCTTAAACTCTGCATATGATGTGTATCAAGTAAGATCATCATTCCTGTATTGCTTAATGGTTTCTTCTTACTGTTATAAGTGGTGATGATAGAAATCATAAAACTCATGTTGTTGTGTTGTATACAGTTTCATCACATACTGGTTCCTCCTTCTGCTGATTTTGGTGGGCATTGGAAAGCTTGCAAACTCAATCCAGCAGCCTGTAGTCAATTACAATTGAGAACTTTACATGGTCAGTTTTTTTTTTTGTGTTTTTTTAATATTAAAGTTAAGTTCCTTAATGTGCATGATGACTTTGCAATATCAATCTTGTACAGAGACACAACTATTTTACTTCGGTTTTCATAGTGAATTGAAAAATACTATGACAAATTTTGGAATTCGGCTCATTATTCCCGAGTAAGAAGGTTGTGACGACAATGGCATGATTTAGAATGTCACTACAGTGATCTTTTTGCATGATGTAATAGTGTTAACTGAGAGCTTGCTTGGCGGAAGAAAATTTGGTTGGATTTACTAGCTCAAAAGTGTGTGTATCGTAAGCAGTATTTTAAAAGAAATGAAATAAAATACGTAGTATCAGAAATAGAATTGTAGAAATCCATTTATCTTCATTTCAGCAAACAAATTTGAATGCTCAGGTAATGCAGTAAAATAAATTAGTGTTTAGTAGGACATATGGAATAAACTGAAAAGTGATGTACTCAACGAGCTCTAATAATAGACAACTTAACAACAGGCACAATAAATTTCATGTAACCCCCACACCCAAAAAATTGTGATTAGGATGAGTCATTGAGTCCTATGTTTGAATTATTAACATTTCAAATGATAATTATAAAATAACTTACAATGGCTTTTTATTTCAAATTCCTTCAGGATTCAGAAGAGACATGCTCGCATCTCTCACAGTTTTCTATTACCACTCGAGAAGAGGAGGAATGTATATAAATTCATGTTTTGCTCATTGTCAAAGTGAGACTCAGGACACATGGTTTGCAGTTGATTCTCCCCGTATAAAAAACAAGGTCCATAAAGTACATATCATTTGTCTCTTTTGTTGTTTCCCTAAGGTCTGTTTGGTTGGAGGGTTTTGAAGGGGAAGACTTTACAGAGCTTAGTCTATATTTTGATAAACAGAACGTTCATAAAACTAAATAAAGGGTGATGGAAATGTTATACTCCCTCCGTCCCAAAAACAACTTCCCACTTTCCTTAAATGGATGTCCCAAAATTAACTTCACACTTCAATACTTTCCTTATTTGGCAAATTATCTACATCAAAAAAGTGATAAACAGTGCCAAACAGTGTTTAAACAGTTCCAAACAGTGTTTAAACAGTGCAAAACAGTGCACTCTACAGTAAAGTCAAATTTATTTTCTAAAAGTGTGTGAAAGTCAACCGGGAGGTTGTTTTCGGGACGGAGGGAGTATTATTATCAAATACTATGTTTTTTCTTAATATTTTTTTTATAAAATTTGAAATATATATATATGAACTTCAGAACTGTCCTTTCAAAAACCCTTCACCAAAAGTGACTGTTAGGTATTGGAAAGTTGAACTAAAGTGTTACTGAAGCTCTAAACCCTCTACCAACAATAAATTTCTCGCAGACTATTGCAGAGGCAGTCGGTGACTGGTACTTCAGCAGAAGGGGAAGCAAACTGGTTGATTGTGCATATCCCTGTGATTCTACTTGCCATAATACCATTGGCTGACATACACAGATTCAATCACATTCAACCCTGCACACAGATTTCATGAAAAGTAATTGGAGATGACAATAAGTTTGTGATTCTATATTGGTTGGCACAGTACATGATAACCACTACAAAAAAACTGTCAATTTGCAGCAAAACCATTAGTCATTACAAACTGTCTGTTTGATAAGAGACCGATTTGCAGAAACTTGTTACAAGTTCGTCACAAATTGACAGTTTTTTTGTAGATAGAATATATGTGCGGTTTATGATACTCATAGGAGATAGGTTAAGAATACAATTATACAATTAAGAAAAGATTTGTCTCATACATAGCATAGGATTAGTGAACAAATTCATTTTTAGCAACGAATAAGAGCAGTTATTTATTGATGTATACACATATTATTGATTCGCCTCTTAGACAAATTGATCTTTCATTTCAATGTACACCAATTTTATACAAGTATTTAGCTTCGCCCCTTAGACACCCATATTATTGATTTATTGCTACTTTTTATTACAATAATTTGAAAATAAGAGCACTACGTAATAATACTCAAATCATCATCATTATCATTACCCCATTATCATTACCCCAGTGGCGCAAAGGCTCCCACCTATGGTGGGGTAAGGGGGTCGGATGTACGCAGTCTTACCCTTGTACTAAAACACAGAGAGTCTGTTTCCGAATGACCCATAGTGAAAAACATGTTGAAAATTGCATAGACTGACTGACCATTATTTCATAACAAAGAAGCACAAACAGTTTAGTGAGTCATTTTGCTTTATTTCATCATATTCCCAAGCCAAAAAATAGTGAGTCTTTGACTCCATTAAATAATGAATATAAATACATTGTAATACTCCGTAATACTTCCTTCTAAAAGATTTGAAGTTGCCAAGTACTTTGTGACCCAATGACATGCTCATACATTACAAAGCACAAAAAAAGATTCGAAGGTCTGTAATTAAAAGTTTATGACAGTTTTTAGGTTTTTGTTGATTTCTTTGTGTGTAGTCCAAACTTAAACAGTTAAACAGAACATATTAGATTTTGACAATTATAAAACAAACTTAGAACAAACATTTGAAAGATCATACCAAACTTAAACTAAATTAAACCAAATCAAAAAATTACAATCCAATTAAAACTAAAAAAATGGCCTTGTTTGACAATTGACTGTTAGCTGGTTACAACAGCTGATTGATAATAGCTGGTTGTGTCAGCTATATGTTCGTTGACCGATTATGTTAACTTGTTGTCAGCAAATGTTTGGTAAATTAGTTGTTTAAGAATAATTGTTTGAAAGTAAAGACATATAAGGATAAGTATTTAATTTTTTAACTATTGCTTATAAAAATAATATTACCTACTTTTACTTAAGAAGTATAAATAATTGATAAATAAAACTACATGAAAAAAGAAACGTTTTTATTTAATTTGAATAATAATGTGAATTTACATTACAGAAAACATAAATAGCAATAAACATTACACAAGTACCAAAGTGTCTCACAAAATAATTAGCACAACACACTTATGTTAACTAAAAATAAAATTAATACCACATAATCAATTGTGAGTGCGTTTAGCTTCCATCAAATTTGATGTGATACTATTTCGGATAACTCTCATCTCCCGAGTTCTATTATTCACGTCATTTTGTGTAGCAATTCTTTCAACATCTTCAAATACATTCGGAGGTATGAACTCAGGATCCTCATCAAGATATCTAAAACCCAGTTCACCATTTGAGCTCCTTCTAATGTAGTTATGCAATGCAAAACATGAACACATTATCTTATTTTGATCTTATGAGTATTTTGGCATTTTTTGCAATATGTTTCATCGAGCCTTAGGGCATCCTCATCCATAGATTTTTTAGAGATCACTGTGATGATGTAGAGATTTTTTTTGAGATTATGGTTGAGAAGTTATGATTATTTGAAGAGATTATTTGATATAAAAATTTGGTATCAAATTCTAAAGCTAGATTATTTGAAGATTATTTCCAATTTCTAGCCTCTTCACCTCATTTTCTAGGCAGATTAGCAGATACGCATAATTAAGGTAGCTTTGTAGCTCGTGTATGTGCATGCTCAGATCCAAGAAATGAAGTGCCATCTGTTGCTATTAAATTAACTGTACTGCATGCAGCTTTGATAGCTGTATCCGTTACTAAATTAAAAAGTGCATGCGGCACTAGTTCAACTTCCAAACCCATGAAGTGCCACTTTTAGATAATAAAAAATTATAATGGTGTACGTAGTAATATATATACTAGTAGTAAATTAGTACTATCATAAATTTAGTGTACTTAATAATATACGTAGTACTATATAGTATATACATATACAATAGTGTACTTACGTAGTGTATACTTCGTATGTAGTGTACTTAATAATCCATGGGTATGTAGAAACTAGAATAGTACACTTTTTTATGTACCTAATAATATGAAGTGCATGTGAGTGTATGTGAGTGCATTTAAGTTGGAAATTTTGAAATTGAGTGATGTCTCATAAAAATCTAGGTAAATTAAGATGAGGAGAAATTAATAGGTTTGAAGATTATTTGAGATTTTCTTATGGAGGTGACGTGACAATAATAAATCCTAAAAATCGTAAAATTGAGTATCATGAATGGAGATGCTCTTAGGAACACCACAACCTTTTTCAATACAACCTTTAGGAATGAATGTGCTATATTAAATACCTCAACTAATATCATTAACAATAATAATTATATAATAATAATAATAATAATAATAATAATAATAATAATAATAATAATAATAATAATAATAATAATAATAATAATAATAATAATAATAATAATAATAATAATAATAATAATAATAATAATGATAATTATAGTAATAATAAGAGACTTTAATTAGACCATAAACATAATCGGTGATGTTGTGCCAATTCTAAACAAGTTGTTAACTACAACTTTTTGAGGTATTTTAACAAAATGGAATGTTTGGGATGACAATTATCATGTGCCCGCAGCTTTGCACCTTAATTAGGTGGCCTGGATGAGCTGGTTTTCATTGGTCTTGTATGCAGACATGAAGACATGAACAAAGACTAATTAATAAGAAAAAATTACAGAACTATTACCAGTTTAAAACCCATTTACAAATTACATTTATATTACTAAACATTATCTGATATTTAAATCAATAAAACATCGTTTTCAATATTCCTTTTCTGACCTCACTATAGAGTCCCAAAAATCTCTCGCTCTCCTAAAACTCTCTTTCTCACTCCCAGTTTATCACATTAACTCTTGCGCCTTCTTTGCAAAGACTCTGGCTCCAAGCCATTGAAACTCTCTCCGTGAATTTTAATCATATTTCTTACTTCATTTGTAAATCATATTGCTTTCTAAATTCTGATTCTTATTCCGCTGAACAGGAAGACGAGGTCTAAAGACTAAAGCGACAAGTACCAACTTGTAAATTCCAACCTGTAAGCCATTTGAAAACCAAAAGTACTAATTCCAGTGGATGCAGTTACATCACATCCATTAATCCTTACTCAATGTCCATTACTATACTCTGTTCCAAGATAAAGTTACTAGGAGTATAAAATTAAATAGAAATATCATGACTCGTAGCCGAAATTACTTAAACATTGTTACTAGATACTTTAATTTATCTCCCTTGCAAAAAAAGTCATTACTACATAACCAGATTCATCATCAATCAGTTGGTTGTAGTTACTAGAAACTCGTACATTTGTCCCAAAAGTCCATTGCTACATACTCATACTTAAAGTAGTTACTACAAGATGTACAGAGAAAAATTATGATTGAGGTGCCCACAGTTACTTAAAAATCACTACTACGTACTCTAACTCCATCTCTACATTCTCTTCCAAACAAATACCGACTCTTATTGACTCTTATTATCCGGCTTCATCCCAATTACGTTAGCCTTAGTTACTTAAAACTCCATTACTTTGTGTAGTCACGTAAAGTACTTACAAAACACCCAGTAACATCATACTTAGGCTCTTCAGTAAGTTACTATATAATTCATTACTACATTCTCTTCCATAAATTAGGGTTGGTTTGCAACTGCTTTTAAAAAAGCACTTCTCAACTTTTGGCTTTAAAAAATCACTTATTTTCTCAAACACTACAACTTTTATTTTTCTCGGCTTCCGCGTCAAAAGTGCTTTTACTTTTTCTATTACACAAAAAGCACTTATTTTATCAAACACTACCCACTTTTACTTTTCAAAATCACTTTTTTCTCAAACACTATCAACTTTTATTTAATCACTTCTCCCCATTTCATTAAAAAAAGCACTTTTTAAAAAGCAGAAGCTGTTGCAAACACACCCTTAGTCACTGTTATTTTCTTATCATCTTCATAATTTGACAATCGCCGCCATTACTACAAAACTCGATTCTATCTACTAGTCCAAGTAGCTTTAGTTAGCATTACAAATCCAAATTGATAAGAATCATGGTAATTAATGTTTTTTTCCTGGCCCTAAACATTTCCAATTTATTTCAAACATTCAAAACTAACCCACTTTCGTACGTTACTAATGGATAGCTTTCGTAGGATTTCCGTATTCCGTCTATCCATCCCAATAGGAGTTGTAACGTCTTGGTAAGCATGTCATTTCTCTTTTCAATTTACTTATTTACCGGGCTGCTTGTATCGTAAAATGTAAATACTCATGGTCACTTTTTTGTAAATCAAATTACTATTGGTAATATGTATGTAAAAAACTATAATAAGTATGGAATACTAAAAAACAAAAAAACTATGGAATAAAACTATTGCAGCAGAAGATTCAACCGAGATACATTAGTTGTAACATAGCAATTTATACACTATTCATGTACTCTATTTTAATTATTGACTACATCTTATTTATAATGTATGATTTTTTTAAAAAAAAATCCTGAAGGCTAAAAGCTCATTGGTGAAGTATAATCTAATGATGTTTGATGTATTATTCTAAATATCAGAGTAGCTGCAAACCTTATTATTGTATTTTATTTACTCAGCCTTGAAACGAGGGCACTGTGTATACAAGGTAAATGACATTATGAGTATTTCCTTTGACATAAATGATTGCATTAACCAGCCATCACCATAATGCATGTTCGAAGTAAGAACCCTAAAAAGGGGGTAAGCTAGATGGGAAGCGAACAAGCATCCACTCTTTCTCGTATGCCACCAGATGGTACCATCTTATTTGCTCGAGCAACGAGAGCTTTAGATCATAAAACTTCTTCTTTGGAGGATCGCCATCTTCTTGAATCATGTCATTCAAAATCTGTTTCAGCAATTCTGTCAGAAAAACTACCTTGGCACACACTACAGCTATAATGACAATGTATATTTAGATACAACCATGTATAGAGTCCGATTGGGATGATGTATAGTATAAGTTTTCTGTCATTTACTCAGTTGAAGTGCATGTTAGCACCGACGCCCCCCTTTTAAATTTAAAGATTTTTTTTACTCTAAAACACATATCTATGAAACAAGTCATCCCAAACGCACTCTTAGCACCGGGGTCCCCCTTTTTATTTAAAAATTTTTCTTCCTCTAGAAACACATATCGATGAAAATAAATAATCCCAAATGCACTCATAATCTTTTTTATAAGATAGTTTCAAAATTATCCCCAAAGCATAACTGACACTACTGCACACATTGCTAAATATTACCTTCAATGCAGTTCCCAGTCTACCTAAACGTCTCTCGTATATAACAGAAAGTGTTCCATATCGGGATGAAGTGACATCCATCCACTTCTTTAGTTCTTTGAAGTTCTTTTCAAACAAGTCTGACTCAACGTGAGGTGCTGTTGCAGGTTGGGCATCCGTCTTGTCAGGATCTCCGACATTCTACCATGAAAAAGACAATTAAGACTGAAAAAGCTCTACAATTTCATGTGAAGACAAACATTACATTGTATTACTCTGTATTAAACAGAAGACCAGCACAACTGCCTCTGAGAAGGATGAGTTTCCAAAATGCACTGATTTTATTATATTTCCAGATTTTCCATCATTTTCAATGGAGCCAAAGATTCATTATTTTTTGGCTTGAGAATATGATGGAATAAAGCAAAATGGCTCACTAAACTGTTTGCGCTTCTTTGTTATGAAGCAGCAGTCATTCCATGCAAATTTGGACGCGATTTTCATTATGGGTCATCCGGAAACAGTCTCTCTGTGCTTTAGTACAGGGGTAAGACTGCGTACGTCCGACCCCCCCTTACCCCACCGTAGGTGGGAGCCTTTGCGGCACTGGGGTAAATGAAAATGATGAAATGATGATGATTTAAATCGTACTGGTGATAATGTGTGTATTTTCACAGGGAACCATCATATTCTATAGGCGTGTTAAGTTATTTTCCTACATGCTGACATCCCAATCCTAGCAATTTGAGGTTTTGAGATACTAAACCGCATGGGGAGCAGTATTACATAGTACACACATATCAGCAAATAATACCTTTAATGATTCGATCTCTGCCAAAGCCAATCCTTTCTGGTAGAGTGCTTCTGCCAACTCATCCCGGATTGTTTCCATTTTCTTCTTCATTTTCTATAGACAACATAACTTTTTCATGAGTAGAGCAAATTATTGTTCTGGGTAAAGCCAGCCAGAGATAAACTGGTAACATCTAGCAACCCAACACTATTCTACTCAAGAAACATAAAAAGTTCCATCATAGAAGCCGAACTGTACCAAGCTAAAGAACCTTGTGTAACAAAAATAGTGAAATCAGAAACCTCACCTACTAACTTATTGCAAAAATTAATACTCCCTGCCTTAGTTTTGTCCCTAGAAAAGTGTCATTTTAAAGCAAAAAAAACTATTTTTTTATTGTGTTTAATGTACTTTTTTCGAAAATTGTTTATGACAAGCAAAAATTAATGTAGTTTTGACTAGTTTTGTATCCTCATCAAATGTAGTTGAAGAGACAAACAAATTAAAAGAAATACAAGTATGATCAACAATTCACAAGAGTTGTGCCTTGCCAAAATTAAAACATTATACTCTGATGAAACTTAACCGTATTTTTTAGGATGGAGGGCGTATACCCTCTTTAAGAGTATCATGACAAACAGTGTAACATATTTTTTGTTCTAGTGTTATATTAGAACAAGATGTAAAGTTCTTTTGTGAGAAAAAACCAACACTCACTTCTGCAGCTTCATCATCAGCATCGATTTTGACAGATATGTATTTAGCTAGCTCTTCCCTATCAATGCTTTCAATAACCTCATCTGCTGCAGCAATAATCTGCCAGAGAACATGCACATAAGAGAAGCCTTTATAGATTTAAAAAATAGTTCAGATATTTGCATCTCAAATAACAATGATATTTTTAAGACAAGGAATGACTGGGCAGGTCTAATAGTTAGAGTGCAGAAAAGTTACCTCTTCATAGTGATGGATCTTGTCTGCAACATTGTTTCGTGAAAGCAAGCTTTCCAATATTTTAGCAAGCAATGGGGTATATTTTGGGTATTCTGACTGCCATAAAAGAATTCAGAAAGTGATTGATACAAATGTATACACCATGGATTGACATTAAGAATCATTGTCAAAATCATGGGTACTTTATTATGCTGTATCACATTAATAACTAAAATGGGGAGTACTTTTTTTTTTTAAAGTTGATGACATTAATATAAGTACCTTTGGGACAACAGTGAATCCTCCACTTGCAAAAGCCATTCTTGGCAAAGAAAAAACTAGTGCAATAAGGGGAAATGCGAATACAGCACATTGGCTGCATACTTTTGACCCATAACTAGATTTCACAAGAAATCTACTAGCAGTAAATGAAGCAGCTGATATGTACCCCATTAAACTACCTAATTGTTTGGTAAGCATAGAGAATAAAACTATGGAAAATTTTCCAAAATAGGAGTCAAAACAATGTGAAATTTCAAATTAGAATTCCTATGTTCCCCCCTAAATAAATAGGAGTAATTTACAGCCATTGTGAAATCATTACTGTATATCTTGGCATTACCGAGCATGAATATGACAGTACCAATCCCATACGTGGCACTAATTACTACTCCTTACTATTTAAGGAAGAAAGACATATCACTCCTATTTTGGAATTTGAAATTGTTTTTACTCCTATTTAGGGCAATTTCTATAAAACTATGGAACACAAATTACATTTTTTTAAAAACAGAATAAAAATTACCTTAAGAGTAAGGGATAACTTTCTCCATTCTGAACATTCCTCCAAAGTGCTTTGGTTTAAGCTAACAAGAACGTTTATTTTAGCATCACGGACCTAATTGGCAACATAATTGGATCAATAAAATTCACGCGATTGGTTTTGGCAGTTCATACAAAAGCGTAAGGAAATTTACAAAAGATCTATAAATTTCTATAAGCAATATAAAGCTATAAACACCATTTGGGGGGGAGGAGGGGGGGTTCTCTTTGTGTACTACCTCCTCATATAGTTTTTCTGATACATTCTTGGTGCTAGTTAAAGAACTTTCCTCCTTTTCATTAAGCTGTTTCATAGATAATACAAAAAATAAATTAATTAAAAGATAAGCAAATACAACAGTCTGTAAAGTAAGACAAGGGTGTTTCATAGACGGATATGAGTGACCTTGGTTGGAGGCAACATATAAGATATTTGATAAGATACAGGGTTTGTTGGTGAACCTCGCCCCTCATTAAGCTTTGCATACGACACTGTGCCAACTAATACAGATCCTTCATAGTAGTTCTGCATGTAAGCAAAGGACATAAATTTTATGATGATCACCTTTACCAGAACCTTATGTTTAGTGACAGTTTCAAGAATGCAAACCTTTGGGAGTTTGTCCTTTGAAGGAGGACCCATATAAAATGCTTCCTTAACCCTTCAAACTCATATTTAAAAAGGAAAAATACATTTAGAATGAGAACATAGAGAAAAAATAATTCTAAGTAGTTTTATGAATCATACCCGGGAATCAGCACAGAAGATGAGAAATTACTGTCACCCGTCACTGGACCATCAGGTTGACCATAAAAGTTAAGTTGAATGGTATCCTGCATTACGAATATTCAGGCATGTGAAGCCTCTAAAGAACTTGGATGTAGGTAAGTATTATAGCTCGTTTGATAGCTGATTTGGCTTATTCTGCTTGCCAGCAAAATAAAAGAATCAGAATATGTAGTCCTCGACCTACTAATTCAGTTGGAATAGATTTTACAAAACGTTGTTCCTTTCTGAAAATTCAGCAGATTCAACCATTCTAGCCAAATATTTCTAACTCCCAACAACCGGACTCCTAGTGTAACCACATAATATGCATTACCATGACTGTTTCGGTAACATTTCTAGTATAGTAGACAACTGAGTATGCAGTATCCTTGAATTATGTATATCAATAAAACGTTTGCATGTCAATAGAGTATGATCTACCCTTATGATGTCAAGGCATGATTACGTTACGCTATCCTAGATGCCATAACCATGAAATAATAACACAGCAAAATATCTCATATTAATATATTGTAAAAGGCTTATTACACACACACACAAAATCCGAGGTAAAAATTAGTTCATTGTATATGTAATTCATGACTCACATAAGTCACATCTATCGTTGATTCGTTTCAGAATCCAAAATGAGATTATGAGATGTCTAATCATCCACTACAGAATATTATGTCCATACAGATCTGTTAACCTATTGAACAAGGTAGGAAACACATATACTGATTAATTTCAAGCTCCAATTGCAAAAGAATTTGATGAAAAACAGAAAAAGCTTTAAGCCACATCATAGGGAATTACACCCTCCCTAAGTAGTTTAATCGTTACTCGGTGGCAACTTGGTCAAGGGCGGAGTAGCAAGTAGGACTGAATACTCGGGATTACTCGGCCTTACATTAAAAAATGTAAAAAATATATATGCCCCGAAGTTATAGTACTCCCTCCGTCCCTAAATGTTGTTCCAATTGCGGATTACGAATGTTGACCGACGATAAAGTTAAATGATCCCTGTGAAAACTCGGATTATTTTTAGTAAATAAAATTTACATATTCAGAAACTACATTAAACCCGCTACAAAGCCTGCAAAAAATAATTCAACTTTTTTAAAATTTTGATATAAAAAGTAAGAGTTTAAGAGTGATTTAAGTTGACTCTCGATAAGCGAAATGGAACTTCTTTTAGGGACAGAGGGAGTAATACATTAGCCTTATAAGTCTTAAATATATACATAATACGTAGTATAAAATAATAATAGCCTGAATAATCAAGTAGCAAAAATTATAAACATTATAACTTTCCAAGAAAATTAGTTATCTAATCATACTTGCAGAGAAATTAAGGGTGTGTTTGCGTTTGCTACTACTTTTAAGAAGTGATTAATTTTAGAGATTATATGAAAGTGATTAATAGTAAAAGTTGGTTGTGTTTGAAAATAAAATGATTTTGAAAAGTAAAAATTAGAGTTTGGTGAAAACCAGTACTTTTTGTGTATTACAAAATGTGAAAAGAAGTTTAAAGCATCTCTCCACCCGTTTCTAGCTTTTAGCTTTGAAGTGCTTAGTTTAGGCACAAACAGTTTTTTGAAAACATTATTTTTACCTTTTAAAGCTAAAAACTGTTTTTAAGCAATACAAAACACTCCTTAAGTGGGAGCCGCCACTAGAGAGTATGAACTGATCTGTGAAATAATCATAAAACCTAAACTTGAATTTTGTAATCTTATTTTCTAGCTTCTAACATACCCACTAATTATATTTAATTTCCATAATATCTCACTTTGGTTTCAACTTTTCAGATTTAACCCCCCAAAAAATATCAATTAGTGATGGACAAGTAACTTAGTGAGTAAACATATTCACTGAGAAGTGAAAACCGCCGAGCGAGTTACTCGGAAAATTGGAATGGAAAAAGTAAGTATGCTAATTGGAAAAGGTCTTACCCCGAGTAGCGAGTACTCGCTGATTAGATAAAATGGCTCCCCCATCCCATAGTAATTTCTCACTTTCTTTTGGCATTTAAAATTAAGAGAGTGAAATTATGTTGTTGAAATTAATTTAGATAAAAATATGACCCACACAAGCGTTATTTTTCAATGGAGATGGGAAGCTTATTTTGGGAGGCCGGAGAGGGAAGTAGGGTGTTTTTTTAGGACAGGTGGTAAATTTTTAAGTATAATATATCCTTGCAAAATTGATGAATCTTTATGAATGGAACCAGATGACTCATAATCTCATTCTGGATCTGAAAACAGTGAAAACTATTTATGAATTATATATACAACAGGTTGGTTCCATACTTCCATTAGCGCTTTCAAACATTAAAAGTTTTTGTATCGAATACCCATTCAAAATAACATCTACAGATGTACCAAAAATCTACCTTGGCCTCCAAGGTTCTTTCTATGAATAACACCAACTGCTTCATTTTCTCCAAGTACTGCACATTATCATGCCTGAACAGAGGACAAATCATGGATGCTAAGTAAAATGCTCTCCAGTACTCCCTACTTATTTGGTGGGTGAAACAAAAATCCTAATGACCACAACCCACTAATCCAACCTCTTTGTATATATAGTTTTGTGATGAACATGTAAAATTACCAAAAGAGCTAGATCTGTTAATGTTTCATATTGGAAGCAAAAGGTCTGTCACAAACTAATATAGTAGTACCAAGTATAATTCACAAAAGAAAAAACGTTCTGCAATGCCCAACAAACCACATAAAATGAATACTAAACAGCAGCATTCTCACCTCAAATAAAGCTGTAAACTGTATTCACCTTTAGGAAGTTTTGAAGATTTTGGATAGACATCACCCATTGTATAAACACGCTACAATCCAAATGAAAAGTCAAAACCATGCACATGGACAATAAACCCAGAATGAGTGAAAGAGACATAGACATCTATAAATACATATTCATTATTTGTGTGTATAGCAATTTAAAAACATACAACCTTGACTAAATATGAATAATTGAACACATTAATAGGTTTTGAACAACACTCACCTGCTAATAACTCTTTTATGGTTGGATTAGACTCAATCTCATAACTAATATGGTATCCAAGCTTATTAAGCTCACATGAGCAATTTGATCCAACTAAAATTCAATTACGTACAAGAAGTCAAAAACTAGGAGTTTGGTCTACTACCTAATAGGATGCAAGTCATAATATGGTATCATAATACACCCAAAATGTAACGATACTATGGCATCAAAATATACGTTTTAGACCAGAGTATGTGGCAGTAAGGGGTTGCTAAGGGCGTGTGTCACATTGACTTCATAATTATGATCGACTCCCTTAGCATCTGTTGAACAATCCTCCCCTTTTGAGAGCTCTACTTTGTTTCACTCATGCACAATCATATTATTAGCATGTTGTTAGAGCTATGCCCAATCTTCCAAATGAGTTATCAGTAATCATAAAGTGGTTCCCTGTGAAAAAATTGCATGGCCTAAACTAATGTATATGGCTTGCAAGAGATGTTAAAGAGTGTCCTGCGTGAGGTTGCCGTGAGCTAAATATGAATATTGAACCACATTAAAAATGTTAATAAGTTGTTGAGTAATTAGACACTTAAACAATTGCCACGTCTTAAGACTTTCAACGTGGTTGAGTGATCACCTAGACCTAACCTCATAATTGGTTGTACTGCTTCACACCATTGTATCAACATGATAGACACCATAAATACGGTCTTCTAGATCTCCTAAATGAGATGATGTGTACCTTGTTAGAATCTGATATCATGTAAAACTGAGACTCAAACTTATTATCATAAATGCGGTTGTTAAGTAATGGAATCAGAGGCTTCACTTCAACCATATCTTCCACTTTGAATTTGTAACTGTATGAACGAGTGAATGCTAAAGTTAGTGTCACATAAGAATTAGATTAAAAGAGAAAGGGAATCAGCGACAGCAATTTATAATAAACCTAAACGCACGTTAATATTAATGCTAGTATCTGTTTCCCTGACGGTAATTTGTCCCTATCTTCTGAAAGGGTATGAAGTTTAGCATCAATGGGACGATATGCAGTTCTAATCTGCAAAGTTTAATATCAGAGGGAACATTCAGCTTGAATAATGTCATTGACATGAGGCAGAGAGAACTACTTTCACAAGTATTGTTGTAGGTGTTTCTGACCTTGTTAAGAATTGCACTAGGAGCAAGTGTCTCAGTTGATATAGGAGCTTCAACATCAATTCGTATCGGTGCTTCACTCCCCTCAAGAAACACTTCCTCTTTGTTCACATTGATGCCATGAAATACAATCTATGAACTCATCCGTTCAAAGAACAGGAATTAGTCATTAATCTGTGAAATCATTGTAAGTTGCAGATAAAAGCATATATGATTCTAACTCCCGCCCCCAGAGAACCCAACGTATGTGTCTTTTTTGAACTACTTCTTTTATAAACAAAAAATGATACAATAAATTTATAGTCTTTAACTCTATATATTTTCCCTCCCCTCCCCGCCACACACACACGCACACACTCACAAACTCGGGCGCATTTTGGTTCTTCTTGTTTCCTTTTAAAGGAAAGAATTGTAAAAGGTAGAGGGGAAGAACATTATATACTTATTTAATGTATTATTAAAATTAATAAAGTAATTTTTTAATGAATATTTTACATAATTTATACCATCGTATATACACACATATATATTATTAATATCAATTAAAATAGTGAAAAAATTCCACTAATATTACTCCTGAAAAAGAGGTAGATAAAAATGTGACTTAGTAACTATTAGTGACTATAATCGTGTTTAAAGTTTACATCATAGTGATTGCATGTAAGTTACTAATTATAAACTGAATACAATTATAGCCACTAATAGTTACTAAGTCTCATTTTTGTCCATAACTTTGTTATTAGTAATATTTTAGGAAAAACCTCTAAAATAGTATATAAATTAACTATTCCAATTAATACATTATACATATGGTATAAGTACATAACATAACATAGCGTGACAATGACATAAACTTACATTCACAGCATATACTAGTTTTTTAAAAATGGATACACACTGTGGGGACAAATACACATGAGTGTTTATGTGCGAACTAATTTTAGAGAAATACTCCCTCCGTCCCCTTTTAAATGTCCCGTTTTACCATATTGGGATGTCCCTATTTAATTGTCCCATACCTTATTTGGTAAAATTTGTGTGGCTCAAAATCATTCTTACTTTATTCTTATTTTATCAAATTTTATCAATTATTATCAACCACACAAACCCACTTTTCTTAAAACTCGTGCCACCCTCTTTCGGGACATTTAAAAGGGGACGTAGGGAGTAGTAATAAAAAATTTATATTGCTACCCGCAGAATAATTCGTGTTAAGGTGGCTGTGGTGGTGATGAACTGATGATAAGAACAAGCCCCCACCCAAGATACTATAGTAGGTTGATAGGGCTCTGGAATTAATCAAGCAAATAGCAACAGATCTAGGGAAATATGGAGGGAATAGATTGAAAGATGTTTATTGAATAAGAGAAAATCACAGAACGTAAACAAAGCCTTGGGACTGTTCGAGAAGCCCACTCTCCAAGCTAAATGCCAATTCAATAACCGCCTGCCTTCTTTAGCTACTCTCCACTTCTATTTATAGTAACAGTCCACGCAGGGACCAAACAAACAACTAATTAGCTATTTGACTCCTTAGACACCTTATTTCTCTTTTTCTGCCCCTTGATAAAATACTGACTAGGCTGATTCCTATCATAGGTAAATAACATTTTCCGCAAGAGAATGAAAAACGGAGTTCAAGACATAAACAGTTGTGCCAACATATCACAATAGCAAAATTGGATAGGTTTTCAAATCAAGAGATCAGAATCAATAGATCAAATGCTTGGTCATTGATTTAAAAGGATTACCTCAAAGTCAATGATGGTTATCTCACGGCTTCCTATTCCACTAGACCAAAACTGAGCTATTGTTAATTCCATTGTGTGACCACCCTCCACTGTGAAGAAAAAGCTTTTAGCACAAGGTGAAGAAAAAGTAGCCACACTTTCCCATTTCTGCGGCCTTTGCAAAGGAGAGATCTACATAACACGAAAAATATTATAAGTGGAGCTTCTACAAAAATAAAATATCAAAAATAAGAAAAAAGTTAACTTTTACTTTTGGGCCCACAACTATAATTGTATTTCCGCTTTTGTTCCTCAACTATCAATTCAACCACTTTTGATCTCTTGATATTAGAAATTTAGAACAACAACATCCAACAACATCCAGGCCTTAGTCCCAAAGGAGTTTGAGGTTGGTTAATCTCTTGATATTAGAAAATGTACCAAAATTAATACACAATATCTAATTGAAACAAATTTGGTACTTCCTCAGATATGGGTATTTTAGATATTTTGGACTAAATTGAGTAAATTTTAAAAAATCAAAGGGCTAAAAGTGGGTTTCATTGGTCAAGAATTAAAAGTGGAAATGTCACTAGTCCCACTACAGTCAATGAATCAAAAGTGGTACCAATACTCTGTATGTTTTACCTGAACCATGTCAATAAAGAATCTTCTAGCCGTATCAAAACTTGATGCTCTCATGGTGGCCTCGACCCAAGTAGCACCAATTGGTACATCAATAAACTTCCGTTCAACATGTCCTAAATGGATATGAGAGAGGTTGAGAGAGAAAATAGAAAACAGAAGGCAGAAGACATAACTGAAACAACATGATTCTATATGCAGTAGAAAATAACATAATGCTATTTTCTTCTTTTGTTATGATTCAGCGGTTCAGCCCTTATTCCACAAGTCTATTTTTTACTCAGTTGGAGGAACAAAACAGTAAATGCCTACTTTCATGAGTTTGTCTGTAATATTATTATTATTCACTCCTTTTTTTCAGGCAATTAACTTGATAGAGGAATACAATGAAATCTTGCTAAGGACTTCAAATTAGAGGCATGGGGGAGAGGATTGCCATGGGGAAGAGCCCCCAAGATTCCCTGTCTGAGCATATTTGTAGTTCTCAATCTGCATCCAACTCTTGAACCATATCAATCTGGAACCAAATAATTCAACATGGCACGTTTGCAACGGCGAGGAGATAACAAAGAATTACAAAAAAGGCATAACCATCTTGAGTTTACTGTAAAATTGTTTGCTTCTCTCACTACTGAATTCACTTTGGTGATCCCAAACTCCTTTGTCAGGTAGTATTTTTATTAGAATGATTGTGAAGTACTTCAGAATTTGCAATTAGAAGGGTTGCAACTTGCAACAAGGAACAGCCTCCCTGCCCTACCATTATTCCATGTATTCACATATTCTTAGTTGTTCAACAGTGTTCAACCCTTGAACTCTTGCTATCCAAAGCCGATTTTTTTTTAAAGCAGGCTTTCTACCCCAGGGGCCAGGGTGTGGAGGGGGAAAAAGTATAACTTTCGGATTGCCGGATATTGTCTACTTCTTCTCTGTCATTGCATTCACTTTGGCGATTCCATGCTTGCATTTTAAGGCAATTTGTTCATTTCAATATAAGGAAGTTATCTAAGAACTTCAAACGATGCATAATATAGGGGAGGTGCACCATTAACAGCCTCCAATATTTCCCTGTCTTGACATACTTTTAGTTGTTAATTCCATCCAACCCTTGACATATTTCAATCCAAAGACAATTGTTGAACTCAAGAAGGCAGAATTCAATCATCAGTTCCTGTTAAGTCTATCAGGATCCATCTTTTAGTATGAAAATAACTTGTCATACAAAAAATGCAGAGAGAAACCATACAACATATGAAATGACATAGTGCAGTAAAAAGCTAACCTGCTTGACAACTAATAAGCAGTCATTCAAAAAATAGGCCAATTACCTGGACAAAATGACATCCCTTGAAATGGAATCAAAGGGGGCCGAATTCGCACTGCTGTTGGCTTGATTAAAGTTATTGGAATTCTGAAAAGAGGACCACGCCATGGGGCCTTGCAGTCTATCCCATATATTTCGTAATAATGCAAGCCATCGTGAAGACAGGTAGGGTCGACAACTACACTGGAAGTGGAGGGACAGACGAATGAGGACATGTAGTGAGTGCTCATTGATGCAAGAGGGGCATCACTTTAATGTGGTTCTTAAAAGAAAATAAACAAATACATCAAATCAAGTGTATATCATGTAAAATTCCTTCCCTAACATAACTCTAAGGGAAAATAATACGCATGCCACAAAAGGGCAGCCCGATGCAAATTGGCATCCCCGCAAGGCGAGGGTCCGGGGAAGGGTCCCACCCCAAGGGTGTATAATGCGCATGCCGCTATTGCATAAGTGTTTAATCGATGCCTAACCCCCAAAAACAATGTTCATGAAGTGAAAGCACTCGGTTGCACCTATGTAGATGCTAAGCATTTAACCATTTCAATATTGTTTAGAACTTCTTTTCGAGAAAAACATGAAACTACAATATTTATGTAAGTATAAACTACAAATCTTAAGAGCCTTAAGTCTCAAGGCAGAAGAACACTATAAGAGAGGATTGTGATTCTTAGCCATGGGTTAATATATATTTAAGCATGGGGTGAAATAGTTTTGTGTCTTTGTGTATTTTCTTTCTGAGAAAGGGGGCCCCAATTAAAAAATTGTGAGATAGTTAGACTAACTTGAAGCTGCGTCCGTTATGGGTGAGGAGGAGGTACTCGGGAGATTTAACCACTGAGTCTCCAGTAGCATGCAACTGAATGCATTCTTCAAATGGAACCAATTGCTCTAAATTACTTGCATCATCATGAAACTTTGGTTGAACCTCAACTGTCCACTGAGGAAAATATTTATTCAGTTTCCTAGAAGAAATTTACTTCCAAATAAATGACCTATTTTTTTTATTTCTTAACTGCGCATTGAACCAAATATTTCATTAACATGCTAGATCAAAAAATTGAATGCCTCTGATAAATCACCTCAGTTGATTGGTTACAAGAATTAATCCCCCTCAGGTAAATACCTCGAGATGTAGGGGCTGCACACAGTAAAAAATCGAATCTTAATTAGGCTCAGCATAACATCTTTGGTCATTGTACAAAAAGATCTAACAATAATGAACATGATCTAGACTGTTAGAATACTTAAAACTGCCAATACACATGCATATTTGATAGACTGCAGACTGACATTCTCAACCTATAGATTTATCTTATGTCCAGCAAGTTATAGAATTTCTAATTTTCATTCATTCAAAAAGAAAATTTCCCTTCAATTTGAACTCCATATGTTGCATAAAGAATGTGAATGTTGGTAATCAAATGAATGTTTATTGATAATGATGAAAATAGGGGGTAAAAGAGAGTACTTGACTTCCCAGCCTGGTTTATCTTGACTTGATACCATACACAAGGGAAGTGCTTTGACTTCTGAATATACTTATAAGCCCTGTCATGTATCTAAGGATTAACAAGTACTCTAAAATCACAGAGGCATCTCTGTTCAACCTATCAAAAACTAGCTTGCAGAAAGAAATGACTTAACTTGTCAACTTGGAGAAGCCCTTCTCCGCATGTTAACTTATCTTCTGGCAAAGATCCTACAGGCGTAGCTGTATTTTCTAGAGCCTTCCGTACACTGTACGGGCTCACAAAAATGCCTTCAGCCTGTTAAATAACTGCTTTTGTCAGAAAGTGATAGAAAAAATAAAGGTGAAAAACAGATTAATTCGAGCAAACCTTCATGCCACTTATAAGTAGAGCAACTGCACCACAAGCAGAAGGAGATGACATGGATGTTCCATTCATCAACTGGCGTCGTTGAAGGGTCCATGTAGGAACAGGAGCCACAGCTCCCCCAGGAGCACTTATTGAGACCCCAATATCTCCATCAGCAGTTGGTCCTCTACTGGACCTGTAGAAGAACATTCTTGTTTCACATGTGAACTAATATGTCGTAAATAGAAAAAATATAGGTACCAAAGATTTATCAGTTATCCAGTAGACAAATTGGAAAATCAGTCAAAGCCTATAGCACATACCAAGTGTATTCAATGCCTTCAGAAGGTGGCTGAGCCAACAAGTGAGTCGCAGCAGCCATAGCAGGGGAAACATATGCACCAACTCCTATAACGCTTGATGTAGTACCCCCAGGTGCACCCACAGTAGTCAATGCTGGTCCTTCATTGCCAGCGCTGCTTACAAATACTATACGGTGCTTATTGACAACCTTAATATTCAATTGAAGATACCATTAATTAATTAAACAGCCACACATTTCTTGGATTGTAGGCTCTGCGAAGAAATCCAAAATTCGAAAATATAGGGGGTTTAAGGAGTTACCTCATTGACAAGGTCAACAAAGCGACCATAATCTGGGAGCAATGTAGGTTCCCCATAGCTCATGTTTATTAGGTCACACTTATGCTGCTCACAGGACATAAAAGGTATAATATCCATGCTTCAGAAACTGATAATTAACATGCTGGTGCCATAAGAACAATTTATTTGCACAACGTCACATTTAAAAATTTATTCAACTAGTGAAGCTGCTAAATAGAGTTTAAAAAGAGGCAACCCGCAACGTGATGCCCACCCCTCCCATAAAAAGAAAGAAAATGTAGAAAAGAGAAGCATTATAGTGAGGCTAAACAGCCAAGCTTGCTGTTATAGTATTAACAAACGTGAGAAGTAGAGGTAAAAGTCAACATAAATTTGACAGAATAAATAAAGTAATTGACATAACAAAAGGATACCTCAACAGCTGCAATCACTGCCCTAGTTAATCCTGTTCCAGTTTCCATTGAACCTAAGCGAGAATCACCTATTTTACATGATACCAACTGTGCTCCAGGCGCAATTCCATTTAGCAAGGGTTCCTTAGAATGCCAGCATGAATTGCACAAGGATTAAATCATGTTTGTTTCCACTGAATCAATCATTAGCTGATTTGTACCAATGTTATACAGATGTAAATAAATAATAAAATAAAGGCTTTAATACATTTTTATATTTTTAGACCCTACAAATATGACATATTCTGTTTAAATCCTTGCAATTTTTTTTATCTTTGTAATATGCATTATTTTCTTTTTAGTCCATCTGTAACTCTGAGATCACTCAATTTAGAAAAAAAATTAATGTCAGTTGAATAAATATATTAGAAACTTTGAAATTTATGTTTTTCTAAATTTTCAAGGAAAATATGTGAGTTAAAACCGTGTGAAACTAATCTTTCACGTTATTAAAATAGGTTTTAATGACCTTCTAAAAATAAATTATGTATTTTCTGAATGACATGACGAAGAATGAGAGGGAACGTATCAGTTAGAGTTGTTTTGTTTTGAAATGGAGGTAGCTATGATCGGTTTGGAACTAAAAAGAAAGCAACATATATTACAGGGATGAAAGACAAAATAATAATTTTGTAAGGACGTAAAACAAAATGCACTCCGCCAAATCGAAATATTCTTGATATCTCAATAGTCAAGATCTCTCCTTATTGGCCCCTCTCCCCCGACTTCACTATTGGTGGAGGTCTAACGACTGCTGTTGAGAAGAGGAATTGTTTTATTCAGACGACTCGTTCAGGACAAAGGCTCTTTAAGGAACAATGCGAGGGCAGGTTTAGCTATAGCCCAGTCAACTGTTGGAGGCAAAGACAAAGAAAAAACGGAAAAGCCGAGCACACTGCATTTCCAGTGAACCATCCTACTTCATACTGGTGGTATACTTCATCTAGTAAAGGAAAATCCGTCATATTGATTCACTTTATAGTAAGAATATTTGAACTCATGGATTGGTGCTGGCATCGACCAGCTTTGCAATACGGACGGACACGAAAAAGAATGCAGGCAGCGGAAATGCAAAAGAGAAGAGCAAAGATTCCCCACCCAGAGCATGTTATTGACCCTACCACTGGTGAGCAAAAATCATAGGGAGAGTGAAAGACAGGGAACCCATAAGTCTTTAAAGTGAGTGCGCCTGTTCAACTTCAACTCTTTCAGATGCCGAATCTGAAGAAGCAGCTGCCACTAGAGAAAGAGAAGTATCAGCAGGAGCTGGTTCAAGAAAATCTTTTTTTCTTGCTTTCCCTTAGCAGCGGGTAAGGAGTCTATCTATCTGCCTAGCTTCGGTAGATTCTATAGCCCAGTCAACTGTTGGAGGCAAAGACAAAGAAAAAACGGAAAAGCCGAGTACACTGCATTTCCAGTGAACCATCCTACTTCATACCGGTGGTATACTTCATCTAGTAAAGGAAAATCCGTCGTATTGATTCACTTTATAGTAAGAATATTTGAACTCATGGATTGGTGCTGGCATCGACCAGCTTTGCAATACGGACGGACACGAAAAAGAATGCAGGCAGCGGAAATGCAAAAGAGAAGAGCAAAGATTTCCCACCCAGAGCATGTTATTGACCCTACCACTGGTGAGCAAAAATCATAGGGAGAGTGAAAGACAGGGAACCCATAAGTCTTTAAAGTGAGTGCGCCTGTTCAACTTCAACTCTTTCAGATGCCGAATCTGAAGAAGCAGCTGCCACTAGAGAAAGAGAAGTATCAGCAGGAGCTGGTTCAAGAAAATCTTTTTTTCTTGCTTTCCCTTAGCAGCGGGTAAGGAGTCTATCTATCTGCCTAGCTTCGGTAGATTCCCCCCAATGCAATCCACAGAAAGGTACGATAGCAAAGGATTGCTGCAGGAACAGCTTTTATTGATTTATTACGGGCTCCTAAATAAGTTCAATTGTATGAAGCCTGCAACAAGGACTTATTTTGAGTTTGGACCTCAATCATCCTCACTTGTTTTGTTTTTTTTTGTTATTTGATGGGACTAAAAACATATATATTATTAAGCCTAAAATAAATACCTCGGGATGGAAAGCTGCGGCAATTCCAGCAACGTGGGTTGCATGTGGAGAACAATCTGTTACAATACTCAGAATATTTCCATCATTGTATACATTCAAAACAAACGTGCATGCATCCAGTGCACTAAATACACCATGCTTCCGTTCAGTCCTGTAATTAGTTAGAGGAATGAAATCAGCAAGCTTTCCACATTCAGGTTGATCATGAAGACCCTGTGTGTCAAGAGCAGCCCTCCATACTTCTCCATCATGCCATACAACAGCATCAATCACAGGGCCTTTATCTTCATAGCTCTACAGTTGGGTTTTTTCAACGAGGAATAAGATGCAATTACAAAAACACGGAGAGCTATCAAAAAAGAAAGAAAAGTTATTACATCAGGTTGTTTGCGCAGAAGTTCGATTTTATTCTGCAGGTCTGCACGAACCCTTTTCAAGTTTCCATCCTCAGATTTTGCATGTTTCTGCAGGATTGGTGGGCTTAGACATAAACAAATCACAACAAACTCTCTGAAACTGACCGTTGTAAACTATAAACAGAAAAATGTTCCATATGCATACATAATTATATATATACAGAGATGTTCCTTCCAGTCCTTCCTGATCGGAACAGCTGTCCGGATGGAATTTTTCGATGGAATTTTGTGAGCATGTTCTTCATTTAGTGTATATTATGTCCACCAAATTTCACTTTAAAAATCAATCGGGAAGTCAGTTCAATAAATTATTGAAAAACGCTGTGTTTTTTATACGTTGTTTATATTTTGGCGCAATGTTTTTCAATAAATTATTTAAATGACTTCTTGATTGATCTTTAAAGTGAAATTTGGTGGTCATAATCTACACTTCATGAAGAACATGCTCACCAAAATTCCATCAAATGGAGGCGTCCGCCGGCTGGGCAGCCATTCTAGTCAGTAAGGTCTCACAGAAACATCTCTCTCTCTCTCTCTCTCTTTATATATATATATATATATATATATATATATATATATATATTCCATGTGTGAGTCCAACGCACAACAAGTACATTTTTTGTATAAACTGGTCGTAATAACAGAATTTCTGAAGCAAATGACCATATTATTTTGTCTGTCATTTAGTTATATTATAAACACACACATATGTAAAGAATGGTGAATATAAGATGCCATAAGATGAAACCAAACACATGCTGGTGAGTTGATCTTTGGAATTACTATGACAAATCAATACAGTGACAAGTGAAAGGATGAAGATTGAAGAACCTTATCAAAATCATCAAGCTGCTTTACAGCCTCAGCAATAGCTTCTTGATTTTTCTCATCCCACTTTTTTCTTCTTTCTTTCTGCAAAACAATGAAAGAAATGATCTTTAAGACCTCAAATTCTAACAAACAGGGTGCTTTAAATAAATAAATAAATGAATGGGTTACTTATAAAGTAGCAGTCTTAAGAATCACCTTCACTCGAGAAGTTAGACCATCAGTAAATAGCTCAAATACCATTTTGCAACCCACATGCCACTTTCCAGATGGATTCTTCCACGAAGAGTTCACAGTCAGCGATGCCCCTAAAATAAAAGAGGGCAGTGCAGGCACAACCAGAGTATTGCAATAAATAAACCTATAATTTGAAACAGCACAGAGTTTTTATCCAGAAAAATCCAAACTGGAAGAGTTTGTACCAGAGGCTCCTTGAATGCGGCCACAGGCATCAGCCTTCACTACAGTGGATGTATCAACATCTCCGCTTCCAGTACTGGAACAATGTAGCATGATAAAGTGAATAACTATTTCTATTCGTATTTGAAATCCAAAAACACTTCTACCACAATATACAAAGACATGAAGTTCAAAATCTAGATCTTACCAATCTAAAACATCGAGAACTTTTGGTTTCCCATCAGATGTCACATGTAAACCAGCTGCAGCTGGATCAACTCCAGAATCTATGATTCATAAAAAAAAAAGATTGAACGGGTTAGCCTCAGTGATCTGAACGAACATAAGCTCTGAAAACATGCAGCTCTTCCACGATAAAATGCAGAACTGTATGCTACATTTATCACTTCGCACCGTTCGCAGCAATCATTTCTATACCAAATTGCATAAAAACAACTACTAAAGAGGGAAAAAAGCCACTCAAAGGACATCTCAGTTGATCAGAGTTCGGAACTGACCGAAAATTGCTATGACAACGCCACGGCCGTCGAAGTGAGGGTGTGCTTCAATGAAACGGTCGGCAGCGATTTCCTTTTTCGGCATTTGAGAAGCAAGGAAGGTGGACTCAGTCAGTCTGAAATTGAGCAAAGCTGCATTACCTTCGCCGGAAGTTTCAGTCACCGAACTAGACATCGGCCGTACTGGTCCGCCCTCTCTGTCTCGAGTTGAGCTGCTGGTCAGCTATCTTAGGCGCAAGGATGGCTTCGATCAAGGAGTAAAAATATGGTGTCCTTGTGAATTCAGAAAAGAAAATAGGTGCTTTTATAGTGTGTGCAAGGCTTTCAACTGTTATACGAAGGTCGTTTTGGTAATTGCATTTGGAGGGTCATATCTGGTATTCCGCCGGAAGGCAGAGATTTATTACTCCATACGTTGGTGCGTCATTTGTTAATAATAATTTATCCCAGCGTAATAATGATCTAATGTGTGGCGTTAAAGCCAGATTTGGTTGTTTAAATATTTTAACCGTAGCCGTAAAGACTAATCTTAACCATTTACGGTATATAATATACATTGGAAAAAAGTTAGAGTATCTCTAATGCTATAATGTTCACGGTGCACGCAGGGGCGGAGCCAGAAAAATGACTCAGCGGGGTCGAAATCAAATTTACATAGAACCAAAACGGTAGATTATTTTTAGACAATACCCGAATTGAATGTAGCTTAGATAAATGATAGTTTAAATGAAACTAATAGAGTATATGTAGTTAATATACTTCGTATATGTCACATATATTATAAACTTGTTTTATACGGGTTGAGTTGAGTACCTCAAATGAGACCCATTGTCTTACCCTAGTACCCTATGGTTCTCTTCGATCTTACTCGGGTTAGTATCAAGATTTCTTACTAGAAAAGAATCTGATGGATAGTCTACCCGGGGGGTATCTTATCCGAGGGGTTATTACGGGAATAACTTAGAGAGAAGTCAGAGCAAATAGGAGGAGAGAGAGTTGATTTTATTAAATGAACTCGAGATGTGGAGTTGAGATGTGGATGATGTCCATTACAAGGAGAAATGGGCTGCTATTTATAGCAGCAATAAATGCGATGAGAGGACACGTGTCAGTAATCCAACGGCCGAAGGGTCACATCAGCCGGTTGGCACCGGCAGTGGTACGTTCACCGCATTGAATGCGGTTGGCGGATGTGACGTGGCATTAAATGCGGTGGTTGGCTGTCTCCAAAAGGAATCTTCGATGATTGAGCGTGTTTGGCCGAGGGCTCCTTGTGTTGCAGAGGGCTCCATGTAGCCAAGGATCCCTGTGTAGCCGAGGGCCCTATGTGACCGGAGGCATGGTTTAGCCGGGGGCTTCTCTGATGCCGAGGGCTCGATAATGCCGAAGGCTCATGTTTTCCGCCGTTTTCTCCCAGTAGCCTCTTATGCCAGAGAAGGCTACCCTGTGAGATTTAGAGCCTTCGGCCAAGGAGGCCGAAGGCACCCAGTGTGTATTCTGGGCTACTTTGAGGCTTGGGCCGTTGTGTCTGGGCCTGAGTTGTTCTCTGGGCTAAATGGACTTGTGTAGGAGAAGCAGGAGTCTATGGGCCGGGGTTCTTGGGCCATATACTCCATCAGGAGTCCCTCACTCCTTTTGCCGGAAGGTACTTGAGGGAAAAGGAGTAGATGTGTTGCTTCTTCTGGAGGCTTCATCATTTCGTTGGGTGCTTTCGCTGGAGAACTTGTCTTCTGCTGATTGCCGAAGGCTTCCCTCAGTCCCTCACATGTCGAGGGTTTTCTGAGGGAAGGTATTCGTAACCTTCGCATGTTTTCCGGGGGCTTCCCTCAGTTCCTCACATGTCGAGGGCTTTCTGAGGGCAGTGTAACACCTGTATGACTGCAGAAGGCTTTTCTCAGTCCCTCACATGTCGAGGGTTTTCTGGGGAAAGCATAGGTGTATTGCCTGCATGTGTTGTGATGAGGGCTGCTTCCTTTCCGCAAGTGACTTGGGAAAAAATTTTGATACTCTACCTCTGCCGAAGGGGGTGTTGAAGTATGTACCCGAGGGGTGTATCCCAGTCCCCCAGTCCTTTAGGCCGAAGGCGAGTTCGGGCTGAAGGAGTTATGATGAGTTGATGAGTCCCCGAGGGGTGGCGATATTGATAAGTCAGGGGCTTACGCTACCGCAAGCTCGTAGGCATTCGATGAAATTTGCTGGCAGAAGGGTGCGGTGAGTGATAGCCGGAGGCTGCCATTCGAGGGCACCCCAGTGTTGTCGAAATATAGTCGTTGTAATATAGCCGTTGGGAGAGAGCCGTTGGAGGGGGGTTCCACGTGGCGTGATTCAGTTGGCGGGTGCCACCCATTGGTTGAACCGGCGGCGTGTAATGATGGGCTTTCGAGTTGAGGCCCAGTCCTCGAGGCCCATCTGCCTATAAATACCCCAAGGCAGAGCTCAGTCCTCCTTGTGCGTTCATAAACTCTAGCGAAGCTCTGCCGAATTTTCTAGAGAGAGAAACCTTTGCCTTCGATCAAACGCGACTCTTGAGGTCAGTTCTTCCTCCGCTCTTTGTTTCCCTAGTACTTTCAGCTTTTGTCGTCCTTAGGCTAAACGTTAGAGTCGCCTAGGAAGCCCTCTGTTTTAAACCTTTCGGACATGTCTTCGCAAAGCGATTCTCAAAATATTTCCAAAGAGCCTTCGGTGCAGTCCGAGAGTATATCCGAGGTGGAATCCTCGAGTGAGACGCTGTCGGCCAATAATGACCACGTGGTAGCTGAGGAGGTTCAAAACGCTCTTCGGGCCGAGATGGAGGCCGAAGACTTCGAGCAAGTGAATGAGGACGAGGAGCTGGCCCTCGCAATCCAAGTGGCCGAGGAGGAGGAGGAAAAGGAGAGGAAGAAGGTCACCATTGCCGTCCTACCTGCTCATAATGACGCCGATGCCGGAAGCTCCAGACCCCTCGATCCGGAACCCCTGAGTGTGGCTCCGGGCAAGAGGAAGAAGAAGACCAGGGGGCCCTCGAAAAGGAAACAAGCAGCTGTTGACGCCGGAAGGCCCGTAGGGATACCCGAAGGGCACTCATATCTGAATACTGCTGCTCTAGAGGTGAGGACGAAGGCTACACATGCGGAGTACGTGGCGACACAGTTCTTCGTTGGGCCTTCGGCACAGGTGGTGGAGCCGGGGCCGAATGACGTGCTTCTTCACGCCCCCCGCCGGCTGTTTCGCGGTGCATATCCTGTCGGTGGAGCTGGGCCTCCGGTTCCCCCTCCATCCCTTCGTGCTACAATATCTCCGCTTTGTTAAGCTCGCCCCTTGCCAGTTGACTCCCAATAGCCACTCTTATCTGGCGGGGTTTCTGTCCCTATGCCGGGAGAGGAAGGTAGAGCCTTCTTTGGACCAGTTCTTCCTGTCGTTCAACCTTTGCCGGGGAGGGCACTCTAATGCCGGGGGGTTCGCCAACTTGCAACAGATCCCCGAGTTCAGACTGTTTTCCGAGGTCCCTTCGTCCCACAAGGGATGGAAGGACAAGTTCTGCTATGTTCGAATGGCGGAAAATCCATTCGCCGCCCCCCTTCGGGACAACTTCAAGAGGCACCCGAAGGTCGGGAATGCTGCTCTTGTGAAGAATGGGAGGAAGCTGGCCGAGAAACCGGAGGGGTCAGACAAATTGAAGACCATTAAGGATGCTACCCTCCCGGAAGAACTCTTCAAGCTTAGCTTTCGGCGGTTCCGCTTGGTGGGGGAGGCTGATGAGGAGTACCCCCTGATAGACAGGGTTTATGAGAGCGCCGAAGGTGATTGCCGAGGGATTTTAGTCGTGCACTCAGGAACTTCTTTCAACCTCGTTGTATTCTGACGATTGCATACTTTTCTCTTCTTTTGCAGGACCGGAAATGGACGCCAAGAATTTCGCCAAGCTGAAAAAACAACTGGCTAAGGAGCCGAAGAAGAAAAAGGAGGGGCCGTCCCAGCAGCGGCCTGTTGAAGACTTTTTCCCGAAGGGGGAAGCGGTGAAGGACAAGGAGACCGGAGGGTACCCTCAAGCTGCTGTCGAGGTTGCTGGTGCCCTGAAGACCGAGGCGGCCAAGAGGAAGGCCTCGGCAAAAGCTATTGAGGCCTCCGGCAAGAAGGCTAAGAAAGGTGCCGGGGTCAAAGATGCTCCCGTAGATATTTCCGAAGGCCATTCCTCGACGGGTACTCCGGCGAATGTGGTGACTGCAATTCCCAACGCTCCCCCGGGCCAGGGAGGTGAATTGACGTGGCCCCAGGATAATGTGCAGTTCTCCATCACAAAGGGGACCGCCATTATGCACGGCACCCTCAGTCCGAGGGAGTTCCTGAAGGGTGCTACTCCCCCGACGGACAAGTCGGTGCTTTCGAGGCTGAATGATGATGCCCTCGGCAGCAAGGTCCTCCAAGCCTCCGTTACTGTAAGAATTTCCCCCTCCCTTTTCTAAGATGCCTTGTCTGGACTTAGCACATTCTCGATCCCGATGTTTTAACTCTCGTTGTTTTGATAATCTATCTTGCAGGCCGCCCTCGGGCTCGGGGAGCTCCTGAAGAGGTTGGAGGGAGCACAGGCTCAGAAGAAGCAGGCGGATGAGGCCTTGGCTGATTCCCGGAGGCAACTTCTGGAGGTCCGGGAAACCCTCCGATTGGAGAGGGAGGCCTTCCAGCATATTCTTGACAATTCCAAAACCGTGGCCAGGGCCGAAGGGAAGGCCGATGCTGAGAAGGCGGCTGCCGAGGAGGCCAAGAAGATTGCTGCCCGGGCCGAGGAGCAGAAGCTAGAGGCCGTTGATAAGGCAAAGAAGGACGTCCTCTCTTCCTTCACTGCTGGAGGATGGAAAACCGAGGGCCACAAGGAGTGGGTGGCCTCGGTCGTGTCGGAGACGGTAGAGGAGTGGGTGGCAGGTCCCGGCGCCTTATGGCTGGCCCATAAGGGTAAAAGCTACTATGAAGGCGGTGAATACTTCACCCAGGCCAACATTTACAGGAAGCTTGCTCGGCACTTCGGCGTGGACCCAAAGGACTTCAAGCCCGAAACTTATGGCCTCCCACCGCTTCAGCCAGATGTTCGGATTCCCCTCCCGGAGGGTGTTGAAAGGGAGCTGCTAGAAGATTCTGAGCTGGCGAGGGAGGCTGATGATGATGAGGGTGAAGAGGCCGGGGAAGATGCCGCCTCAAAGCCGAAGGAGGATGGAGCTGAAAACGTCCAATCTTGAAATTCCTCTAAGTATAATATTGTAACAGTTTGTAATCTCCGGCTCCGGCCGTGCATGTAAATGATAATTGTTTTGCACCTTGAATATTTTTTGCTGATGGATGAATGATCGCCTTC